GCCGCCGGCGTGACCGACCGTCTCCTCACCCTAAGCCCGCCACCGAGTGCGGGTGTACCCGCCCTTCTAGCTCTGCTCCTGCTACGAGCCGGGCTTTCGCTTCTACCGCGTGCTCTTTCTGCTTCTGTTCCCGCTTCAGAAGCAGCTTTAACACCCTTCATGACTTCCTCGTCTTCTTGCTGCTCATCATCGACATCAGGTGAAAACGTCCTCACAAGACTCGGCTGCCTGCTAACCGTCCGTCTCTGCTCCAACGCAATATCAGTGGCGTCCACCTCCTCTTCAGAAGAGTCGGGGGGCGGGTCGCCGGGGTGGTAAACCATCGTCTTGATACGCTTAGAGGAAGAAGAACAAAGGGTATGCATCGCCATCTCTTCCCCGAAAAGCGTAGCGCATCTCTGCGTCGCGCGAGCAATCACGTTCTGCGGAAACCCAGCCAGGGCAGCTGCCCCGAGGACGTCGCGCCAGTCGCGGAGACCCCAGCGTGCGACGCGGCCCATGCGGTCTTTTTCTTGGGCGGCGGTCAAGGCGGCGGTGCTGGTTACGCTTCGGCTTCGGCTTCTGCTTCTGGCCCTGTGCCTGTTGGGACGTTCCGCTGTCTTCTTGGAGGAGGGTAGTTGGTATGACCTTGGCGGCCCGCGGGCTTCGGCTTCAGAAGCTGTTTCGTCAGCGTCGGCCTCGTCGGTAGTGTGGAAAGAGGAAGCCCGAGAGCGAAAGAAAGAGGGTATCCGCTTGTGAGTCTCGCGGGCGACGCGTTCAAGCATTTCCTGCCCAGTCTCGCCCTCGAGGGGAATGCGTAGTTTTCTTTTACGCCCTCGCTTGCTGGTTCCTCGCGGCGGATTTGATTTGGCCTCGGACGCTGTCGCTTCTGCGGAAGGTGATGGGGAGCGCGCACGGGGTCTTCCCCTTAGTGTGCGTTGCTGCTGCTGCTGCTGCTGTCGATCAGGCTCTTCCGTCTCGGCGTCGTTGTCGTTATCCTCAGTGTCACTAGCAGAAGATTCGGAGAGGTCGCGGAGACCGGCAACGCGGGCGTTGTGTAGGATTGTCAAGGTTTCGTCCAGCTTGGAGAGGATGCGCCGCGATGCGGGACGGAGAAGTTTGTAGGACCTGTCGTCATCGACTGACGGGCCAGGAATGTAGGTAGGCGTAGGAGCTCGATGACGTCGACGTGAAGAGCTGAGGGTATGCGAAGCAGAGCCGCCTTGTTTACTGCTCTCGTCTTGGGAGACCGGCTCACGTTTGACCGGGCTCGAAAGTGGTACGCTATACCGGGCCGACTCGTCGTTGCGCCGTGGCGGGCTGGATAGCAACTGACTGGATTCCGCATGATGGTGATGGTCGTTGTCGCCCTTTTCTATCGAGTCCACAACGCCATCGTTCCCTTCGCCCACCGCGTGTATGGCGGAGTGATCATCCTCGTCGTCTTCTTCGGGGAAGCCTCTGCTTCGGAACTTTTCCTTGGCACACCGTAAAATTGTTGCCGAAATTTCTTCCTCTAGATTCTTGCTTGGGTAGGTCCGGACGGGCGGACGCAGCGTGAAAGCCTCGTGCTCGTCTGCGGTCCGCGGGAGGAGCTCATCATCAACCACCTCACCAGTCCTCAGTGGCCAAGCCGTCCATCGGTGGCTCGGAGCCCATTCATTCTCTCTGGGCCGTGAACCGTCTTCGTCTTCAGTTTGATCGTTGGTCGCCTGAGCAATTGTTAGCTTTTGCTTTTCTAAACCGCCTCGGTAGACTCACCTCTTTGGTCTCCTGCCTTTTGGCTCGGGTTCGCAATGCGTGCGCGTTGTAGAGATGTGCTGACAAGTCTCGCCTGCGCAAGCCCTCTAACGCTTGGTAGGCCTTTCTTTCCTGCGCGGTGAATGTGAGCCATGTGGAGGGGGGCCCATTCCACCGATTGGGGCGGGTTTCGTGCAGTTCATCTGATGCGATGGAATTAATCTCTTCAGTGTCCTTACCCCAATCCTCGTCGCCGGAATCCTCTTGATTCAAGTGTGAAGACATTGTATTGCCCTGTTTAGTGGGTGCTCTTCCCGCGTTGGCAGGGTTGTTGGGTGCAAATTCTGGTGTTCAATCACTAAAGGACGGGAGTGACAAGAGATTGAAGGCAAAGAACCGCACTGACGTACGAAAGCGTCCCAGTGGTAGTACCACAGCCACAAGGATGGAGATATTGATGAACCTCCGACTCCTCAATTCTTTTACTTTGTACTCTCACCTTTCGTCGGTCCTATTTTCGGTTCGTCCCAACTTCTCTTGAGCGTTACGGTTTGGTTCGTAGCGACCCCTAACCCTCGGACGAAAGCCTCGTGGACGCTCGTTTTCATGTCACGATTATGTTCACATTTGCATCAGTTCAGGACGACGAGTATGATTCAAAACTTGTCGATTACACAAAAAGAAAAAAGAAAAAATGAGCCTTTGGTATCCCATTTCAAAACATAGTGCTAAAAATTACGCCTTGCCAGTGTTTTAACCTTACGCCTTCTGCGCCTTTTCCTTCTCCAGCTTTCTCCTCTTGGCGCGGAGCTTCTCGTCCTGAGCGCTCTTCTTGTTGTTGGTATACTGCATCTGCTCATACAGCTTGCGCTTCTTCTTGCTCAGCATGCCCTTGGCGCGCTCCAGGTCCTCCGCCTCCTCGCGTGCCTTCTTTTCAAGGGCCTTGCGCTGTTCTAGCTTGGCCTTGGTCTTGGAGTCTACCTTTTTATTTTGCACCTTCTTGCCTTGGAGCTCGGCTTCTAGCTCAAGCTGACGCTGGAGGGTCTTGGACTCCTCCTCATCTTCCTCAGCATCCTCCTCCTCGGCCTCCTCGGCATCCTCCTCATCACCCTCCTCCTCTTCCTCATCGTCCTCGGCCTCATCAACATCCATGTCGTTCTCAACATCGGAACCATCCTCAGCATTACCCTTCTCGGCATCCTCGAGGTCGGCTTCAATAGCCTCAGCCTCGGTTTGCTGAGCCTCAAGGGGCAGAGTAGGATCGTACTGGCCAGGGGCGGCCTTGACGAAGGGGCTAAGATGGGGAGGGAGAGCGGCGCCAGGAGCATAGAGCTCAGGGCTCTTGAGTTCCTCGTCGTTGACGCAGTCCCATACCCATTGGGGCTGGACATATATCCTGCCGGGGTATCTCTGGTTGGGTCCGACCTTCTGGGCCGTCTGGTTGTCCTCGCCATCGCCATCCTCGTTGGTAGCAGCTTGTACGACTGGCCTGTCAATGATGTGATGGGTGATGGAAGGATCCGACTCGTCATTTGTGAAGGCACCCTCGCCGAGGACGGAATCCCAGCCTATCCTCTTGCAGCCAAAGGCACGAAGAATGAACTCGAGAGGCTGGCGGGGGGTCTCACGGGAGAGATAGAATGTGAAGTTGGCGAACAGCTGCGAAGGGTCACTGCTGCTGTACGCCGGCTGAGGAAGAACATCACCACCAGGGGCAACTGGCTCGAACTTGTCGATGGAGTCTGTGGGCTTCTCCTCATCGTCGGCCTCGGCATCTTCCTCGGCAGTCTCGTCGCTCTTGGACTCGTCCTCCTTCAGTTGCTTGATAATCTTGTCAACCTCAGCCTGGACCTTGGGGTCAGGACCCTGCTGTTGTTCCTCCCCGTTTGTGACGGCCTTGGTCTCGCCCTGGGTGGCCATGTTGACACCCTCCAGAGAAAAAGCGCCGAGCTCAGCACCGTTCTCGTCCTTGAGCTGGTCGAACTTGGGAGGATACTTGAGGCCGATCGAGCTGTAAAGTCGGTAGTTGACGAACCCGAGCAGGGTCATGTAGAACTCGACGAAAGTGCCCATGATGCGGAAATCGACATCGCCGACGATCCTCTGGTTGAACTTGTAGGGAACGAGCCAGAGAATATCCTCGCCCTGAATGTTGGCCTGGTAGTAGATACCCTTGATCGACAGGAACGACTTGCGCAGGCTGTGGGAAACAATAAGGTAGTGTTGGAATTCGAGGCAGAGGCGCTCGCAGCGGGCGATCATCTTGGCGGGAACCGCGCTCGTGGAAGGGAGGTTGGCGAAGAGGAAGAGCATGGACAAGCAGTCATCGAGATCGCGGAGCGCGTCGTTGAAGGTCGGGTAGCGCTCGCGGATGACGTGGTTGAGAGTGTACCTGGGCATGCCAGTGGCCTCGGGGCGGGCAGCATGGCGCTCGAAGCGGGCGGCATCCGAAACATCACCTCTGCCAAGAGCACGGGAGATCTTCTTCTCGAGCACCTTCTGGTCACGGAACTTTTGGAGAAGGGGCTCGTGGAGGAGGTACTGAATGTCCTTGGTGTAGTAGAAGGTGGTCGAGGCAGTGGCCGACTTGGAAACCTTCTTCTTGTTGCGAGGCTCGCGCGGGTAGATACCCTTCCAGATGCAAAGCTTGCGGAAGTCGGGAAGGCTAAGCTGCAGCTTTTTCACAGCCTGTGTGCGGGTGATGTAGTTCTTGGCCGCGCCGGCCTGGCCCTTTTTCTTGATTTTTGGCATTTTGGGGTGTGGTGGTGGTTGTGGTTGTTGGGTGTAGGTGGAAGAGTGAGAGAAGGAGAAGAGGACCAAGGATGGATCTCTTCAGTCTGCAGACTCGATCGCCCGTTATCGAAGCCAATTGTAGGTGGGGGCGCTCTGTGCACTTGCAATCAACTTTTTTTTTTCTGGCCGTTGCGGTCCTGAACTTTTTATGCCACTTCCCACCGCCAAAGCTGATCAAAGATTAGATAACGTAGTGGATGGAAAGCGGGAGGCATCAGATAGATGAGGCTACTGGGCCCGTCTGTCCCAGATTCCCGCTCCCTTCTGGAATCCAGAACCCATTGTCCCACAGGGACCCGCCAGCTGTGGAGGCCGGGCCAGCTGTCAGTCTGCCTTGGTGGGGACAGTGATTCCCTTGACAGGGCGACCTAACGTGCTGGGCGCGACTCCTGTTTAGCGCAACTGGACGGGCATGTCGTTAGAAGTAACTTGACCCCGGGACAAGTTCGACATCACAGCTCCCACCTCGTCGTATGGCGAATTGAACAATGAATGGCGGCAAGGTAACGTTGAGGAGGACGGCTGGCTTATACGCCGGTGCTGCCGTCCTGCGACTTGCCCTCTTTACTCTGTTCCCCGGTCTTCCAGACCTCCTGACTGGCCGTGTCGAGATCTCAACGCCAGTCACAAGCTTCAAGCGCCGTATGTTGTAGCTTTTGTTTTTCTCTTCGGCATCCGTCGCATCGTCTCGAGGAACACAGGTTTGCTAACTACCCAAAACTATAGTTCAAGAAGGCCTCTTCCTGTATAACCATAACGTCTCTCCTTACGATGGCGGCGTCTACCACCAGGCGCCCCTCTTGCTGCCCATCTTCAACTTGCTCCCGAGCTTCTCGGCGTTTCCCATCTTCACGTACCTTCTCTACATCGCTATCGATATTCTGAGCGCCCATGCTCTTTTAAGGATCGCAGAGTCTGGTGAGGCCGGCTCGTCTGCGCGCTTCACCTCCCCGCGCCGTGACAAGCGCTGGAGTGGTGCCATCGTTGCCGCGCTCTTCCTGTTCAACCCCTTCACCATCGCGACATGCATTGGGCGTTCGACCACCGTCTTCACGACCTGTGCTATTCTCCACGCCATCGCCAATGCCATTTCCGGCAGACCCTTTCACGCCATGGTCGCACTGGCCTTCGCATCATACCTCTCCATGTATCCGCTACTCCTCCTCCCGCCTCTCATTCTTCTTTGCTATGACAGGCAGAAGCTGCCCGCTACCGGAGCGCCCAATGCGTGGATCAAGTTTACCGCGACCATGGTTATGGATGTATTCGGTGCTCTGGCAGTGCTTTTCCAAATGTCGTTCTTCCTGACCGGCTCATGGGAGTTCCTTAGTTCCACCTATGGTGTGCAACTTACCCTGTCTGACCTGGCTCCCAATATCGGCCTGTGGTGGTACTTCTTTGTCGAGATGTTCGACTCGTTCCGTTCATTCTTCTTGGCCGTCTTTTGGCTGCATTTGTCGTCATATGTTGGCGGGTTGAGCGTGCGCCTTCGCCAGCAGCCGCTTGTGGTGATCACTCTGCTGCTGGGTATCTTCAGCATCTTCAAGCCATACCCTAGCATCGCGGATGCGTCGTTGTTCTTGGGTATGGTGCCGCTGTATAGACATGTCTTCCCGTTGCTGCGGTATTCGTTTGTCATTGCCGCCATTATTATTTACACGACCTTTCTCGGTCCTGCGTTCTACCATCTGTGGATCTATGCTGGTAGCGGAAACGCAAACTTCTTCTATGCTATCACGCTTGTTTGGGGCCTTGGACTGAGCTTGTTGGTCTGCGATCTCGCCTTTGCTGTCCTGAGGGATGAGTGGGAGGTTGAGCGACCCGAAATGGCCGGCAAGGAGATTCGGCAGATTTGAGAGGGCTGCAACAAACACAAGGGCAAATGTATCATAACATTTAATACGTTTATTTACATCACTATTATCAAGTATCAACGAACGAAAGACTCATGGTCATCATGTCACCGATTTCGCACTTTGTCTCACTCCACATCATCTCGGCACTTTGCACACATCCATCGATTCGTCACGTCTTCCAACGGTGCAAATACGACCCCTTCCCGCCTGCCCGCGTCGTCCATGCCCTTTCAAGATTACCCCTTTCATGCTTTACTCCCAGCGCGCAGAAGCGTGAGGGCTGTTGGTGCAGTGGTAAAGCACGCACGCAGCCTTCGAACTCATTCCTCCACTCGCGCTCATCAAACCCACAGGGAACCGAAAGGCAAGTCCACATGCTAAGTGTAAAGTAAAGCCATGTTGAGTAGGGACCAAAAGCGAAGGCCGCTGACAGACTGGAACATATCCAGACAGATAATCTGGGGTTGTCAGCGGAGAACGAATGAATCCAGAGAAAGACTCGCATTTTAGAAGAAGGCCTAGTGACTCCTGGGGTGAGTTCAGGGTTGGCGTGAGGACCGTTTGGTTGAGGTTGCTGCTTTCCAACTCTGTACGTTTCGATGATCACCTCCCCCCTCTCCTTTTCTTGGTATACATATATATATTCAATAATCCTTTTCTCCTTTTTTCCCCCTTTTTCTATAGGGGATTATTGAACTGTGGTCGTCTGTCAATGATCTCTTTTTCCTCTTTCATTTACATCACTCAATTACCATTGATTATCTGCTGAATGGCATCAATTGCGCATGAGCTTTAGGATGCATCGTATGGGATCTTCTTTGCTGTAACCAACTTCACCCTGTATCGCTTTCCCATTGGGTATCCGCATCTGTTCTGGTATCATTCCAAGTTTTGATCATAGGCACGTATCATACACTCCCCTAAGGTTCTCAACCCTCAACGTCTTCATGCAAGACCAGCGAACATGGCTCCTGCCGCTCCAAAGCTACCCAAGCCTACCAGTGGCCTATGCCACGTCTGCAACGGCGCGCCCAGCAACCCTCGGTATCGGTACCAGTAAATACCAAGGCCGACAACGTTGATAGCCAGCAGAGTCAACCCGGCACCAGCCAGCAAAAGACTGCGTTCACTTTCACCAACGCTTCTCCTTATAACGAGCTGTGTCTCGGTAGAGTTCTCTTCAGCTACCCTTCTTTGCCTCAACGCCCACCACCTGCTCCATTCCCGTCCAAGCATTGGGATATCGTCAACCACGGCCCTCACAAACCGCCCAACGATACTGAGCGCCGAATCGCAGGCACTGACAGCGGGATCACTCTCCCTATCTGCCCACGGCAGCACCTTGCCGCTCTCAGGGAACGTCTTCCTCCTGTACTCCAGCACAAACTTGCATAATCCGGCATACTTTTTCTGCAACACTTCCTTCAACCAAGGCCTCGGCACCTCAGGAAGCAGCATGAGCGCCAGGTAAGCAAACGCAAGACACTTGGTCTCCAACGTCACCTTGATCCTTGCACCACCCTCTTTAGCCTCCTCCTCCCCCTCCTCCCCGTCCTCTTCTTCCAGGAGATCAACTTCCCCAAGCACATCAAACACCTCCGCCGCCAGCCCCTCCAACTTGATCCTCCTCTTCATCTCTGGACTCAACTGGCCCTTGACACCGCTATTTTGCCCGCCGACCGCCTTCCTCAACGCCTTCGGGATCTGCACCCAACCCGCAGCCTCGCGCTCCCGCTCCTCCTTCTCCAGCCGCTCCATCTCCGCGTCCGTGTCCAAGCTGCTCATACCCAGGTGCGCCGCGCGCGCGGCCATGGCGGCCCGCACGGCGAGCGGCTCTGTCCACGGTAAGGGGAACGGGAGAATGGCGCTGTAGGCGGGTCGGGTGGTTTCAGAGTAGTTGGCCGAGGAGACATAGAGGGACAGGGCAAGGAGCGGGGCGGCCGAGGAGGTCAGGAGGGCCTTGTAAGCTTGAGAGTTGGCGTAGACGCGTGAGGGGAGGGTGGTGACGTCAGGGTGGTGGTAAGAGGGTGGTTGAAGGGTGGAGAGATAGGTGACGATAGGGTCGAAGCCGGAGATCCATGTTACCGTGGAGGGGTTGTAGAGTGCCGGGAGGTGATCTGTATCGAGAGTAATGGGATTTGGCCGTTAGCTTGATGGAATTGACATGGGCCAACCGTACGAGAATGAAATTGCGCCGGAGGGAGGATGGAGCGGGCACTTGCCCGTCGGAGGGAATCGGGGCTGGGGTGTGTCTGAGATGGCGACTGGTTGAGTGACACTGGATATGGTGAGCTTACGGGATGGAACGGCAGAGGGGCTGCTCTGTACGAGCAGGTAGTCGGCGGCACTCAGGGTTTGCGCAAAGTACGTAACGGTCGCAAGGCATTCGGCGTCGATAGAGGGGAGGCCGAAAGCCGGGCCCCAGACATGGAGCTCTAGCGTCATTTATTTGCTTCGGAGGGTCAGGTAGGGATTGGGAATAGCCCTATAAGGATGGGGTGGTTATGTTGATGGATGGGCGGTTGTTGTTGGACCTTGTGGCACGTATCGTGGGGTATGTCAAATGCCGGTGGGCTTGTTGGAAGAGATGGGGGGGGATCGAAGCTCTGCCGAGATTGATGAGATTACGACAGAGACGTTACCAACCTAACCCCAGCAAGGCAACCTATGCGGGTACCTGATAGCGATTAATCAATGGATTGTAATGTTGAGCAAAAGAAAAGGTTGAAATCTTCCCAGTCGACTATTGGTCGAAATACGATAGGATGGTTTGATTCCGGCTGAAACAGTCGCAAGTTTAAGAGCAGGACGTGACAACGAAGCCCTCCTTGTTCGCCCTCTGACGTGAGCTCTCGTTGTCCCCATCCGCAAATTCCCACCCCGCACAATCGCGAACTCACGTGTAGATAGCATGATAGAACTCCCCTTTTCCACTTCTACTTTCAAGGGGAAACAAGCGAGCAAAAGCACGGGCCTTGGCCCTTGCAAGGTCCCTACACTAAGCATCTCATCAGAATTGCCTGCGGCACCAACGACCAGAGAAAACGCTAGCTAGCAAGACCCAGAATGCTCCCTGGCAAGACCCCCCCACATCTACCGCTGAGTAAGCCCAGCCAGCCAACCACCTGCCCAGCCAGCCAGTGTACATACAATTGAAGCTATAGAATTAATGCCCGCGCATTACTAGATCTACGTTTTGGAGTATTCTTTTTTATGTGAGGGTATTTAGAGACATTAATTTAATTAATTATCTATTACTAAGGGGGTTAATATTAAGGTTGCTAATAATATTGCTATCCTCTATATTAGCCTAGTTGTGGTTGTACTTGCTGCCTAGAGTGTACGTGCCTACCCTAACTTTAATACCCGCTATATAAGTATTGGGGAGGCGGTTGGAGAGCTCCCTTTATATATCCCTATAAATATATTGGAAGTATTAGAGGTAGCGCTATAAGGGTTGGAGCTCGTTTATATTACATTATTAATATAATTTATCCCTTCCCTTATTATTAGTTAGAAGGCAGCGGACTATCCTAGTATTGAGGTAGCTATTTAATAAAAGCTAGTAGTTTATAATTAAATTGATTGGAGCTAGTAGGAGTTGGTATATAGTTATAAGACGGTTATTATTAAATTAGCGGCTATTATTAGACTTAGGGATAAAGAGATAGAGAGAGTATTAAAGCTTTTTATAAGGGAGTTGGAGGGTAAAAAGGCGAGGGTAAGGGAGTTAGAGTTCTAATTAGCTAGGGGGGTACTATAGCCGTTAGAACCGTTACTAGTAGTACTTTTAATACTAGTATCCTTTATAAGGTAATATTCTCTAAGAAGTTTTAGTAGAAGGCTTTTAAATTTGTCTGCGTAAGAGCCCTATTTTCTACCGTTAGTTCTTATATTATCACTTATTAAGTGTCTCCTCCTCTATTACTTTTACTATAGGGCTATTTCTAGTAGTAAGGTATAGAAGTTAGTACCCTCCCTCTTATATTTTATAATATTATTCGGCGGAGTATTTTATCTTTATTATAAAATAGGATACAGTTGTTATTATACTAGTTACGGTCGATAAATGCGGTAGGTTAGAGAAGTAGTATTTAATTACCCTCTAAATTATATAGTTCGTAAACTTCTAAGTTTATAAGGTTGTACTTTGTTATTCTACGTATATAATTAATAAGGTTTGGGTTGGGGATAACTATTTTACACCGGCGGCTAAATAAAGTAGTAGGGTTTTGGATAGCGTAGGTACGGTACTTAATTTCTATTATTGACCTATTTAGTTACTAGTATATATTTATATTATTTTTAAATAATATCCGTAATAGATTTATTTATAGTAATTTCAATATAAAGTATTTATAAAGTAAATTATATTATATAGTAAATTCTTTTTTATAATTTAAATCTAGGTCTTAAATTGGGTCTCTAAACTAATTATTATATATATAACAGTATTAATACTATAGTAATTTAAATATATATAGTACAATTTAAATAAGAGGGAATAGTTAGTAGGATAGGACTTAGAGATTATCAGAAGAGACCTAAAAATTATTAGGGAAGATTTAAATAATTTTATATACCTTTAATACTAAATTATTAAATATTCCTATTTTTTTATACTTAAATAAAATCTTTTACTTTATTTTAATATATTTAATTTTAAACTTCTATTATTATAAGTGGTAGGAAGTTTATATATATTTATATAATTAGTTTAAAGACGAGAGACGGTTTTTAAAGATGCGTTTAATAGCTTTATATATAAATTCGATTCGGCTGGTTAATTTAATATTATAGTTTCTATACTTCGAAATAATATAATTACTAAATTCGTTAATTTATAGGAGGTAATATTTATAAAGATAGGCGAGAAGAATTGTAAAGAAATGTAATTATTAGCGAATAGAGTATATAATTTATTATAGAAAAAGGGGGGTATATTAATCTATCTTCTAAATTTATAGTATAATAAATATTATACCCATTTAAAGTAACTTTTATTATTAATATAAATTACCTATTTCTACGCCTTTTAGAACCCCTTATACGAATTTTAATAGAATCGACGAATTGGATTAAAAATAGGGATTTTATAATTATATAGAACGATAATTTTAATTAGCAGTTTATCAATTACTTTACGAACTCCCTGCCTATTATTTAATCGTTGTATAAAATTAGTAGTAGCGGCAGTATTATTGAATTTATCCAGATTTTCCTCCTTTAAATTATTATTAAAATGTTTATTAGGGTCGTCGTTTTTATTAGTAGTAGCGGGACTTTAATATAATAGAAGATTAGTATAAAAGCGTAATTCTACGAGAGATAAACTACAAGACTAGAAGCCACAAATCAAAGTAATATTAAGTATAAAGAAGGAAGGTAAGGTATACAAACAAAGGCATTCGGAATCGGACATATAAGTCTAGATTCTGCCAGCGGACGCCGCCTTCTTAATCCGGCTAACTATCGATAAGAACATAAGCCTCATTCTATCTAATGTACTATAGTGCCGTAAGGCCAGTACTCTATTGTCTAGTAGCTAGTACTTTAGGAGCCTATCTAGCCATGCTATAACAATTAGGGCCGCTGTTATTTAAGTCCTAAGTAATTAGTAGGGGATTTAGTATATTAGCGGCCGGGGTTAGTTTAATACTATTTAATTATACCTACTTCTTTTTAATATAATAATTTACATTCTTCATAACGTACTATATATAGAGTTGGTGCGGTACCTTTGGGTAAGTAATTATAGCCGTCTTTTTAAACCTTCTATTAAAATTACTAATAATTATATTGGGGGTAGGAATTTTGTAATTATTTTAAAGATTCTTTAAATAGTTAAATTGCTATTTGAAGTTGTTTTAATTTTCTCTATTTAAGAGACCAAAGTTAATATTGAAATTATAATTTAGTGTATTAATATTAATAATATTAAGAAGGAGGAAATTGAATTAGTTAATTTATAAAAAAAAAAAAAGGGAGTTAGTATAGATTCCCAGCTTAATTTATAGGAGTAATATAACGGATGGATTTATTTATATAATAATAGAAGAATATATAAAAGTATTGGATTTGTTTACTTTATACGTATTATTAATTAGTAATATATAAGGATTTTTCTTCTATATTTTAATATACTAATTAAAGGTCTAAAATATTCGTATAATATATTACTTATAGTAGTTAATAAAGTGCTATATACTATACTAGTCCTTATATTATTCTAGTAGGTCGATAAGTATTTTAGTCAAAGTATAAGGATTATACTTTATATAGCGAATATACTATTGAATATTCAATACCTTCTTAGTTGTAATAGGGATTCGAAGATTATGTAATTCTTTAAATAGATTATTACGGTTAGTTTATTAGATGGCGGTAGCGTTGTTCTTATTTACGTTATTATAATTTAGTGTTTTGTTAAGGTAATAAGTAATTTAATAGGCAATTATTTTAATAATATTAAATAATTGTTTAATAGTAATATTAATAGCCTCCTTATAATTACAATATATTTATTATAGATAAAATAGGTAATTAACGAGGTTAGCAATATTAACGTCGTAATTATAAGAGTTATTAGTCTCTTTAGCGAACTATTTACTACCTTATCTTTTCTATAATATAATTCTTGCTTAGTACGGGTAATCGAGACGCTGTAAAGTAGTATTTCAAATACTTTATTCGGTTGCTATATAAATACGGCCGTATATATAGTGATAATTAATATGTATAATAATACTTTTATTTCCCTTCTTTTTACTTTTAGTACTAGCGCGCGAGATAATTGTAAATCCCTATTGTACGTAATAATTTTGTAGCGAATTAAATGCGGCGATTAGAATATTATAATTAGGGGAGGTAAATAGTAATTTCCCTAGTCTAATTAGTAAAGGAGTTGGAGACCGCTATTTAACGGCGGCGCACTTGCTGGGAGACTATAGTAATTGCGTTCTTTTGTATAGCTGGCGTTGGATTAATAGTAATAGAAATTTAGTAAGGGGAGGAGTATAGTAGTTGGGAGTAATTGTTTGAGTTGGGGTTGAGGTTATTTTGGCTGGGGATTTTAGTTAAATACTGTTAGTACTAGTTATTTTAATCGGTTGGGCTTTTGACTTACTTGGGCAGGCGGGCGGGCGGGCGAGGTATGTTAATAAACGCGGTAAGATACTACGATATTAATAATACTCTATAAAATAATAATAAAAATAATAAGATAATTGTTGTAAAATATCGTTAAACGTTAGAGTATTGTCTTGCAATACCCTTATTCAATTGTACGATGCTAACTATCGTGAATAGAGGGTGCGTATCGACGGCGGCGGTTGGGTAGTAATACGCTAGTGTAGTATACTAGGCGGGTAGTTGGCTAGCTGGGCTTACTCAGCGGTAGATGTGGGGGGGTCTTGCTAGGGAGCATTTCGGGTCTTGCCAGTTAGCCTTTTCGAACGACCAGATGATGATCGACGCCCTATTTTAGGTTTGCCTCGGCTGTTGCATTCCCACACTGCACAACTTTGAAATTCACAACATGAACTTAACACAAAAGAGACAGGGGCGGGTAGCGGGTATGCCCGAGAAATCTAGAAGCGCAGAACGTAATCACTCAGCCAGTCACAGACCGCCTTGCAATTTTCTCTTGTGTTCAACAACGTGTGGTGCGCACGTGTGCTGTCTTCATAGAAATGCGCTCTCGTCCTTCTGATTTGTCAATTCAACACAAGCACACAAGGCAAAACAAAAACAAAAAAATAAGGGTTCTTCCCTTGGTGCATGAATATGCGGATACCGTTCGCATAGGTCGCAAATTCTCCGATGGAATTCCACTCTTGAAAGCATGACAACAAGTCAACAACATCCCTGCTCCATCTTGCCCTTCCCATCTACATTTGTACTGCGTAGGACTCTGTTTTGTTGGAGATGGGGTCTTTTTCAAACGTGAGATATGCCGAGAAGGAAAAACAGGATCAATGAATGATACAGCAATCCCCATCGGTATCAGCGGCTTCATTGTTTCCGACGTCTGAGACACACCGACCGTCTTCGGCCTCCACTTTCTCTTGTGCTTTTCTCGTCATTCCTTGTCATTGTCGTTATCTTTCCTACGTCGTGCCCATCTTTGTTCGGCATGCATCTCCGACGGTGCAACTTGCAAAGATGCATCGGAGTATCGGGTTTGGAAAGGTGGTTTTGAATTTTTGCTGGAGCGCGTCATGATGGTTGTGGATCTACTTTCCCACATGCATGCCTGGAGAGCACTGAAGAGGTACCCAGGTTACCATCCGCGGTTGCTTCGAGCTTAGCACGTCTCCTGGTACTCCTCTGGAGTCTGGCGCGATCATACAACGGCAAGCGAGATCCCGAAATATCCATGGCAATTCGCTCATATCAAACCTGTTGTGTAGGTCGGAGAGAAATGAAATGTGAATATTACGCTGCGTGCACATCACGCCAAGATTCGAAACAACTCCTGTCAGCTAGATTTCCCTTCGGTCGTTGGAAAGAGACCTTGTGGCCAGTGAGGATCTTGTGTTTTTGGTGTATTCGCCTCTGGTTAATTTCCTCCTTGACCCTACATATGCTAGTAGGGCATCTATACAGTGTAGATCGATGCTCCCCTTTCCAGCGCTGCGCATAGTAGCCATATGCTGCCACATACGGTCTTCATGTCAGGTACGCGTAGTAGCAACGGGAAGGATCGGATCCCTTCATTGGACGGGTAACATTGGGCGTTGCGAATTTTGGGGAATAAATCAAAGTTCAACCTCATCGTCTACCGCGGCTGAAAAAAAGAAAGAAGGGGAAAAAAAAGCAACCATCATATCATCACTTGGCTTTTGTCATGAAGTGGCTATGGCATCATAGCAATCAAGGGAATGGCAATACTATAAAACCCATGTGCTAAGGTCGTAAGAAAGGAGAAAATGTTGTCACGAATACAACTCTGTCTTGATATCTCTCTATATCGTGCATATCCTATACCCGTATGACCAAGATCTCACTGGCCAAGTCACCGAAGAGGCCACAGGCGCGCGATGCGCGGTTACCAGGCTCGTTTCCTGTCCACGCGATCAGTATCAAACGCCGAACAGAGCAAGGAAGGAAGGGAAACTTCAGGAACAGGGGGGGCAGAGAGGAGGGGAAGGTAGTATGGATGGACAGAGAAGATCTTGGAAAGAGAACAACGCTGAAGATGAATGCATCGGCACAGTTTGATGGGGGAGAATTGTTTATGCCATCTGCTAATGGATCTTCGATCAAGAGATCATCATGTCTGCTCCTCCACAAGCCCAACGTGAATGAGGTGCATAGAGATTGCGTTTCATCAAGAAAACGATTGTCGTGTACTGTACAACACGCAGCAATACCCACCACGTAAAGAGACAGCGATGGGTCTCGACAGTATGGAGAAGATCGTAACACCCCCCCTAGGCAAATATCACGCACTTAAGCGCAGTCTCCGAGACTTTTGTCCTCGGCTCCCATTATTACCGTTATCGTTTGTCGACTTTCTCCATACATACTACTCCCCTTCATTTTACACGACTCTTCCTTGGTGAGCTGAGGCCAAGACCATTGTTGCGCGGTGCCATCACCAAGTTGGACGCCAAGAAGACGGAGTCTCCTCTTTCTTGAATTGAGATGGGATCCTTCGGCAACGCGGCTGCGCTAAAGGGGACATGGGGGCGGGGGGAGGGTATTAGGATGACCTCTTGATGGGGAAAGCAAATGGTAAAAGTCATGGCAGCCTGTCGCTTTCTCTTACGCACGATACAACAACAGCGTCGGTTTGGACAGCTGCTTCAGGCTTGCTGCATTAATAAGCCGCAACACCGTCCTCCGAACATGTTGCTTGGCAAAGTTTTGCGTGCCATCGCGAGGTGGTATTCGTAGCCGAATACTGACGTTTTGTCATGTTTAAACCTCAAAGCCTCGCTCGCTTCCTCCTCCACCTTTCTGGGGAAGTTACAGGAGAGGTAGGGTACATGTTAGGGGGGGGGGGGGGGGAAGAGAGGGCAGAATTCTCGGAGCGGATGGGTCGAGAGTAAACAATGAGCAGGCATTATCCGGCAGTTTCATCGGAGATTCGTGATCTGTAAAAGTCAAAACAATGGTCGACGACAAGTGAAGTAACGTAGAGTTCATAGGAACGTAAGAATGAATCAGACTGACAAAACTTGTGGTGTGTTGATGACCTCGTAAGACTGTAGTGCTTCATTGAACATGAAGCTAGTGTGAAGAAAATAGACAATCGGCTCTGTTTCTCGGAGGTGTAACAAACACCGAAAATCTGGCGATATCCATCTCTGAAGGATGCAAGTCTCAGATCTCATCCTTTCATCGGCGACCATATCTGAGTCTGTCCTTCAGTCGGTCTCCGTACTCGCCGACATACCCTATCTTGCATCTGCCCATTACCACCTCACGAGCTCCAGCTACAGCAAAAAAAAAAAAAAAAAAAAAAAAAAAGCCCCATCGGCATTCAGCAATTCCTTGCTTTTGCGCGCTTTACCCTAGTAGCTACGTTGTCGCGCGTGCCCTTATCTCTTTGATCGCGAAATTCCGAGGCTGGTGTTGAAAAAATTTCCAGAGAAAAATTCTTTCCGATAAGTTGATGGTGGCTGTTCTCCCCATGCTTCTCCATCCTACCCTTCTCCAAAGTCACCCGGGCCAGCAGATATTTTACTTGGACCCCATTGCAATGATGTAATTCGAGCTGAGACCGGGTCTCGACCCTCGTCCGAGACCAGTACCGTATTGTAGCACATGAGTGTGGAGATGACCCTTGGCTTTATTTTGCATTGTATGCAGAAACTGAGTGTGACCTGGTTCTCCCCACTCTCTGACGGCAGACGGGCTTCAGTTTCAGTGAAAGAAAAGAAAGGGATGAGGAGGAATGAACAACGCATGCAGGTCATCCAGTTCATGGAATTGTAAGAGAGCGATCTCGGTTTCGATATGCGATTGATGGGAGGGTGGACAATTCAATTCGTGTTTCACGAAAGATTATTCTGATCTCTGGATTGTGGGCCCAGGAGTACAAGGACATGTCAATTAAATTCCTGTTTCCCGCATCCAGATACATTGGAATTCACATGATGAGGAGCCAAAGAGAATCGCATAATGGTAGATCACTGAATGATTGTGGTATTCGGGTGGTTAAAAACCGATCCGTTCAGAGAGTGAGGCACTCAAAGTGCTCGTGGTATCAAGTTGCGGTAGTACATGTGAATGTCGGAAGACCGACTACAGAAAAACACCTTCCCAATGAGTTCCCAGACCCGCCCAAAAACCCCCTTCCGATTCCTTCCATGCCCCCCATTACCCCCCAGCCAATGCCCGTACCAGCGACCATGGTGATGTCTGACGCCGATGCCCATGCTCCCTAGTGATAGTGATACAGTTCCCAGATACAAAAACAAAAACAAAAAAAAATTAGAGAAAATTGGTGGTTTTCGCAATGCTCGTTGAATCGTCATTCCAAATCGGAAGAATTAGCGAGAGTAGTCATTGATTAAAAGGTCGGTATTATGTGGTGGTACAATGTCGAAATGCAGCCAGCTGGATCCGGAGCTCAAGCTCGCGGAGGTTGTGATTGAAGTTCCCTCGGGCCCAGCTGGTACATTGTGTTCCAAAAGACTGGATGAGTGGTGGTAGCCATCGTGATGCGGCAGGATTGTCGCTTGGGTTGATTCAAAGGCCGAAGAACGACCGGGGGAAAAGCGTACGGTCATCGACCAACCGTTGGAATGGTTGATATTAGTGATGGCATGTCGAGACCGACGGTGAGAGGCTGCTGCGTTGATATGCAGGCGGGCATGCAAACGCACTATGGCGTGCAGCTCGTGATGATTGATGCGCCAAAGGGGAGCCACTCAGTACTAAAAAAGCTGCTGGGGCTCTGCAGTGGGCACTCTGCAGCCTTGTGCTCCGCGGCCAGTGAAACCAATCTTGAGAAAGCTCGGCCCGGCCGCAACCCTTGTAGAAAGAGGATATGTAGAGCATAGACAGACAATGATGAGAACAAGGAGACATGAGAGATGCCAAGATGTCATCGAGTTGCTTTCCATCCATGTTGAAGCGAGCTGCTTAACCCCTCTTGGGAAGAGGAGGAAGAGGGCGGCTGGGAGGGGGGCCGGGGCAGGGAGGAAGCTGGGAAGGGCGCTGAGCGGCGGCAGGCATTTTGATGGTTTGTTTTGGTGTTGTGATAGTTGTTGTTGTTGTTGTTATAGATATTCGTGTGGATGACTAGTATGTAGTCAAGTGCCGAGTTGAGTTTTTTGGAGGTTGGCGGCGGTGGTAGATATAAGCTGTCGTTGGTAGAAGCTTGTGTGATCCGAAGACTGTTTGAAGTGTCTTGAGTGTCCTGATGGTGAGCTGATTGGTGTTGTTTGATCTGATGATGGCTATTCAAAGGTGGTGAGAGGAAGGTGGGAGGGCTCAGGCTTATATGTAGGAAATGTGCCGAGTAACGACCTCAACATTGCCCTTTACGGATAACGTGGAGATGGGCAGGGTGGCAGGCTCTGTGAATTCACAGACAGGGCTGCGGCCAGGCAGTTAGTTGGTGCCAGGGTCTGTGGATCGCAGCCCTCGAACGAGAAAAGCCCAGCGTGAATGGAAAATGCCCGGCGACAATGGTACGCATGGTAAGCATGGTACGCATGGTACGCATGGTTGTATGCCTGGTACGTACCGTCATGGTATCAGGAACGGGCGGGACCTGGCAGCTGAGACCGTGGAGTAGTACATTGAACGGGGGTTCAGGTACAAGCGATGTAGCGCTGCTGGCGCGATGAATTGCTGCGCGCGTTACAAAAATAAAGTTGCGCATCGCACTCAAGGGGTATCGAGCCTTGTACCAGGACATGAAGGACGCTAACTTGCGGTGACGCAGCCATGGCTTGGCGTAATTGAACGTCTCAAAGCAGTGAAAGGTTCCTGAATTGTGCCTGGAAGGCTACCAGCGCGATCCTGGTAATGAATGACCTTTGAGTGAGTTCGCGCTGCGAGAAAAATGAAACACAGCAGGCCGACCGGGGTGCCCTGCTGCATGACACCGCTTTCCCCCCTGTCTTGCAAGAAAGGCGATTGGGGAAAGAGAAAAAGTGCCCTTTGTATAGTACCTGCCGCAAGTACCTGATGACTGGAGCAGGCCAAACAGCCTTTCATTTCCATTTTCACCCATTTTTGGCTGTCGTTGTCGCTGGTCCCGCAGGACTCCAAAAATACAATCGGTACGGGATCGTACGGGGGCCCGCGCTGTAATAATGGGCTAATGAGTGGGATTGGGAATAATGGGAGAACAGGCAAAGTCCTGGAATCGGTTTGCAAGAGAAGAACGTCCTTGGTGTTCTGGAAATAGCGGTCGGCCTGCTTTCCCATGGCATCCATGACGACGGCAACTCCTTTGCAATCAGACGTCGTGATTGTTGTCCTCATCGCACCTGGGGTTTGCTTGTCTGTCACAAGATGTGTTGGGCTTCTTTCGCGTGCCGGTGCCATATGGCAAAACATGGCCATGCGACCGGGCCTCCGGCGACCCGCGCTGTCCGTCCGAACTCTGCCAGTGCTCGCCCGCCAAGGCCAACCCGCCGGTTATTGCGCTGGAGAACGAAGATGCGGTTGCCGTCGTGGTCGGCCGGCCATTGAGAGCGGGCCTAGCCAAGACCTCATTCACATCCATATTCGGCAGGCGGGATAACTTCTGAAACAATCTTGCGTCCACTGACAAGAGTCATCGACATCATGTTTACTCGGCTGTACTGGATGGGACGTGATTTCATCCTGCTTCTACATTTCTGGGAGAAAACGGGAAGTGATCAATGATCTGCCACCATTCATTCGCGTATTACCCGCATTCAGGTCAGGCATTTTGACACTCAAGGGCGTCCAAAAAGGGCAGCGTACATTGGTGCGCACGTTGCAGCTGAAAGTTGTTGGCGTTGGCGTTGGCGATTCCTATCGGAGAGGTATCTTCCACTTGGAGTATGCAAATTTTGCTTGCCTTTTTTTTTCGAGCGTATCCACTGGCAATCTCAGGTGCTTCATTAGACTCAGTACTGTGTAGAGGTAGAGCAAATTTGGCACAAAATCCGTGCAAAGCTGCATAGGGGAAAATTCCACTTGGCTTTTTGCTGCTAGCCTGCCCCCAGCAGTCCCAGGCACGCCAGACCACAGCGTTGTTTCTGTTTTCGGGGTCTCCCCAGGAACCAGGAACAGGTTGATTTGCCCTGCCGCTGTCGCCGATGCCGTTGGGTTTTTTCCCCTTAGTACACTATGCTCAGAATGCTGAGGAATTTTTGCCACCTTCTCATTTCCACGAAACCCGCCAAAACAGGCCCTAAAAATTCTTGAGACTCCATGGAGCACCCTCCTGGGACAATTACATACCACAACTCCGGGCACTGTCCACCGTCCATCTTCGGCCCGCCCGACCACAAACGTTTCAGTCTCGGGCACGAGAAAGCGGCGAATCTGTCAAACGAACGGCCGAACTCATGCTCAACAACGGGATGTGGTTTACCCTTCGGACGCGACTGTGATCGCACAACTGTCCTGCGGTCGAACGAGCCAAAGCCGGTTCCCGGCTGACCGTCGGTCAGTGTCCAACTTAAGACATGTAAGAAATGTTTCAATGAGCTGCAGGAGCCGTGTGCTCGACTTGAGACAGCACCGATCAACACGTAATAATACCGTATAAACTCGGGGCCTTCGTTCTCGGATTCTCACAGTGGGCGGTAGAAATCATCGGTTCTAGCGAATAGCGATTACAAAGAGTACCTTGGGGTCTGGGTTTTCAAAGAGGTTCAAGCGTATCTGTAATGCTGCATGTCACGGTGCTTTCTCGAAAACGTACACCCTCCGAGTGTCTTTCAAAAGCATGTGCCGCTTCTGCTAGCAGTAAGTTCTGCATATCCGATCGTCAGCTGGCCCCCTTTTGGTTGCCTTTTCAAACACTCGTAAATTACCTTATGCTGTCTTCACGCCATTATCATATCAACAATGATGGCGGTCGCCTTGTTGTCACCTCGTTTACATAGTGCTCGCAATGCCTGTGTTACAACCAACCACACGCCACCGTTGCAAGTGGCTGACCTGGATGCCTACGCAGTACATTGTCCCTGTAGGCTAGTTGATAGCTCACAAAACTACCGAGACTGGAAGTTGTGTCGGCGATGAGAGGACATGCCATGGTCAGCGCGATGCAAGTGTGTACATCAGTGTAGGAGATTCGATCACATTGCCTTCTCATTGACGTCATTACCCAGTCACCTTGAGACAGCTTCTTCCCCCTCCGCACTTGGGAATTGCTTTTAGGGGTGAGACCGACGCCGGATCGGAGCCCCACGATGTTGAGGCTGATGGTCTTTACGCACTAAAGTGGACGTCTGAGATCCAGACCGCGCCGCCGAAAAAGAAAATCGTCCGTCCTTGTGTTGTTCGTTTGCCCGGCGGCGAAGCCGACAGAGCGGCCCGGAAATGAAATGCACTGCAGTCCTCAGCTATTCGTTTTTCGCTGCGTGCGCGGAGTGTTGGACGGAATTGGAATGGGATGGAGGAGCGGAACGGGAGCATCGCCTTCCTTGGCTCGTTCCCAAGAACAAGAGATAGCCAGCGCAGGTAGCCCCATTCGACAGACGATTGCATGACGGGAATGCCTCAGAATATTCCTCTTGTCAGGAACCGTCTCGTCAGGAACTGGGCCAGGACTGGGCTGACGGTGCGACCTTCGACTGGATTTGCGTCCTTGGAGAACGCCACGCACTTTGGTTGGCGAGGGCCACTTCCCCGCATCACAACTTATACAGTGTTTGCGCCCAAAGGGGATATTCCACCAGCTTGGGGGGTGAGCCTGTGTCAGCCGAAGTCTGGTAGGTTGATAAGAACGAGCTTGTTGAATTGGTCAGCTCGGGCTGGATAGCCTCTTCGATCATGGCATCCGGTGATTAGGAAACCCCACTATCAAGTCTACTTTTTTGGCAAATTATCCATGATGACCTACTACTGGGCTTCAACTGCAATGATATGTCGCGATCAGTGATGTAAAGAAAGCCGGGGAAGTCAGATGTAGTGTAAGGCAGGCAGACAGACAAGGCAGGCAGGCAGGGATAAGGAAGATCTTATCAAGGTACGTGTACACTAGTTTACTCATCTAAGCGCTAACCCGCCATATTGGCAACTTCTCCGTTCCAAGTCGAAATATCAAGACATGGTCAACACGAATAACCTGCATAAGGCTCACTGTGCTTTAGGTGAGACTCTGCCCCCAAAGGGCGTGCGCTGGCTGATCGAACTTGCATGTCCTATCGAGTGTGTTCAATGTGGGCCTGTTTCAGACCATTCGTACCTGATCAGCATTAATATTTAGGCTTTATGGCGTAACCGACTTTAGCGAGCGCTTATTTGGCCATAGCATTGACAACTTGGGACTTCATGATCATACTGTAGTATACTATGCTCTACGCGAACGGCTGGAGAGGGAACTCGAGTCACTGGCGCCTATCAAAACCTCTTGACCGTGACCGCGCCTTTCGGTACCATTATCACATACACACAGCACGCTCGGGAGTGCAGGAGGAAGCGCATTGAAGCCAGGCAAAGCCGCCGAAGGTGCTGAACGGGATACCGTGGCGAGGCTCGCAACAACGGACTCCTGGCGTGGCATGGGTCGAAAGGGTAAGCGATGTGTAAGTGTACGGCAGAAATAGAACGGGAACGAAGAGGAGCGAAACACATGCGAGAGCCGGGAAATGTAACTCAACCTTCCCAGTCCTATTCGGACACAGATTGAGTACCGTACCCAGCCCTCTCCAGCCGTGTCTCGAGGTGGATTTGCTGACCGCTGACTCTGAGTCCCTTTCCGACCCTTTCCCTCTCCAGTGGGTTGCGCCCTTTGCGGGCCATACTTCCCTTTGCGGCCTGCTTCGCGGAGTATGTAGTACTTCGAAATGCGGTTCCTCGGATGAAGGTGAACTGTCGATACCGAACCTGAACCCTGGTGGTGACCAAGAATAGAATACTGTGCAAGGGAGAAGAGGGGGTAAATTACCAAAAGCACGGGGCGTCACCCTCGTATCTTCGCTATCCCTGGAGCCCTACCCGGGCTGAGGTTTATCGATCACGGCGAGCGTGAGAGTCAGCGTTGTTGGGGATCTTGTGTCCAGGGTCTCTGCATGTGGAATTGCGAATGATGACAAGCATCACTGGGTGGTGGTAATTGCTGCTGACAAAGGTTTCTAATGCCGTTGCTCGTTGTCGTTGTCGTCCTGCGACGGCTGACCCGGCAGGCTGGGACCTCTTTTGTGGATCCTGCCCTCCGCACAAAGCTCCAAGCCCCACAAGTCGTTGGGTTCTCCAGCCCTCTAGCGTAGGTAGTGTACGAATTTGCCGCTCAGGGCATTGCATTGCTCCCAAACGGGCAACAACAACAACAAAAACATCAACGACATCACAACATCACAACATCACGACATCTCGCCGCTACGCTTCCCGTGAATCGTGTTCAACCCATGCTGACGCATGAACACCCAACAGTCTCAACCGCTTCTTCACATGCCAGATCATCTCTAGTGCGGGGTCAGCATGGCAAATCGACCTCCGCTTCGTATCGTCGGCACCCGATATCTAGCACTGCCAGCTTACCCCTCGCTCGGTGCTGTTGCCAAGAATTTCATGGGAGAAACCAGATGGCTGGTGATAATCATGGTTCCGGCGAATTCATTTTTGCAAAGTATCACTTGTACAGTACTTCGGCCGCCTTCTCAAGAGCTGTCGTACCCCTGTCCATGATGTTGTGAGAGTTGGTTTTCATGTGGCTTACATGTTTATCCCGGCAAGAATATATAACAGTGCAGTCATCTGACTCAACTCGCCCAGCTTTTCACAACCTCCTTCCCTGTCTCGGTCGTATACGGCCAGATACAGGCACCGATTACAGAGCACCGGAACCAACGACTTTTCACCTCGGCTGGGTTGGGGCTCTGGGGATTGGCTGTCAAAATTTTCCAACCTTCTGGAAGCTGCGGAGCAAAAGAAACGGCAACGTGTCGCCGGGATCCCATCTCTTGGAGCGTTTGATCAAGTTATCTTCACTCTGCCAGGTTCACCGATACTCATTTTTTTTTCCCGTTCACCTTGACCACCACACCGCCGGCGCAATGTCGTCGGTGGCCCGCTCCGAGGCCCTGAACCATGGAAACGGTCATGCATCTAAACAAATTTTCACATGGCAGCAGGGACAGACCTCCGACAATTCCATCGTGATCGCCATGGGCTAGGGATGAACATGCTGCGTCCAACAGCGAGGCGCGAGGCGGCTTAGACATGATGCGATAGCGGAGAGTATCAGGCAACGGGGCTATATGCTGACCGATAACAAGGCACCCACTCTAGTCGGGGTGTTGCGACGAAGGAATGTGACACGTCTCGGACATAAATGACTGCCGCACTCAAAGACAGCAGCCACATGCGCATGGAGAAAGATTCCCATCACATCATTTGGCCGGCAAGAGTCGCACGGCGTAAGCAGTCCTCCACCGCCTTCTTACCACCGCAGTGGTAACACTGGCCCACGGAACCACCGGCACACCGGCCTCAACCGTGGGATATCGGGCGGGGGTTTGACACAACCACGACAGTCCTACGGCTCTTTCGGAATAGCAAAGGTTGTGATGAAGGGAAGCTATCAGAATGTGCCCTGTTTCCAGCAAGGCGCGCTTGCCCGTGGGTATGGCTAAGCATATCCACCGAAAAAAACGAGGGCGCCAGCTGCGCAGCTCCAGGATCCGCACTATGTATACAGCCAGCAGGCACGCACCAATGGTATGTGGCCCGCGGTAACAAACCTTTCAATCTGTGCCGTCATCTCTGTGCAAGACCAACGGGCACAGCATCACGACTTTAGCTCGGATCAGTAGCGTAGTAGTGGTAAGATATGGCACTGCTCCCTTGAAATTATCTGGGTAGAGGTAGCATCCGTACCTTTGTCCTACCCATCCCTCTACCCTTCCCCTCCATCTGTCTCGTCTTCCTTATGGCTACCGGATGCCTGATCTGCGCCGCTTTGTGTTACCAGAGCCGCATTACCCTCAAGGCTGGGGTTCACCACTATCACGCGGTGGCCTAGGATGGGTTATTTGTTGTCGGCACGTAAGTATCCGCGCACTAAGAACCTCCAGGGGAACGACTCAGCCCGAAGGCCCAAGGCCACCCTCCAGTTCATCACGAGACCCCGCACGATATGTGCTTCAATGACGTGATAGAGTTGTCTTCTTGGGGTAAGGTGTCGGTTAGCAGCGGATTACCGATACGGGCGCGCACCTGGGGCCACGTGGAGGCGTGCTTGCTTTGGGTTAGACGCCGACCCCGAATCTCTCCAAGTCAGGAACAATTGAATGTTCATCTCAATCGTACGTATTGATGATAGGTACTGCTTCTTTCTGATTGGGTAATTGCGGCCTCAAACCTTTATTCTGCTCACCTTGTTGTCATGCGGAGTGCTTTTGGGTGCGCGACGTTCGCCCAGCCCGGTCAGCTGCTACGGAGTGTTTCGAGCGAAGCGACCAGGTACGGCACTAGGCACGCCAAACACATCGACCCTTTGATACATAGCTTCACGGCTGGGCCGTCAGGGATGAGGGCTCGGATTATCACCAATCAAAGGACAGATCAAGGAGGTTAACGAGCCGAGGAAGATCATGGTCTCACTCCATTTTCCAAAGCTCACCATCTCCAGGCCATTCTCGGGGTTTTCCAGCTAGCCTGATCAGCTAGGGCGGCCGAGATATCCAATTTCTCGCCTGTATCTCTCAACCAAAGCAACGCCAAGCGAGAATTTCACGATTGATGCGCCCCACGGTCTGTATCCGCCGGTCCAAAGTCAGACGAACTCGTGAACCTCCATCGGAGATTGGGGAAACGGGCGACGAGAGAGGAAAAGGCTGGTTGAAAATGGAAAAGACTGATGGTAGCGAGACTAGTCGCTCGTAAGATCATTACAGTATTTTACACCAACACCAACTCGAGGGACACTGATCCTGAAACGAAGTGTTTCGTTCGGTTTGAAACGCATCAACATGATACGGCAGGGCTTATCATGCTCAGTGAACAGCCTGTGAGGAGTCTTCTCTGGAGTTGACACTGTTCACCACGGCGAAACGGACAATTTCCTCTCGGAGTTGGCGACACTGGGTGGTTGGCATCCCGTTCCAGCAAACTTACAGCCGCTCAGGGGTAGTGTATGCACTATTTTGCGCCATACGCCGTACCTGACAGAAGAGCGATCTAGACCCCTGTCTTGCCACGTGGGAAGAGCTGCTCGTCCGCATCGAGCGAACAACGTGGACCTGAATGAACACCCCTGGCTGGACTGGACAAGACTACGAGCCGCTAACGATCTGTGATTGGTGTTGTGGTGTAGCTTGGTCCGAACTTTGTCGGGGTCCCTCTTCTCCGATCTCGTCTTTCACGTTGGGGGAGGGGATCAAAATTGATGCGCAACATCATCATGACGAGTGTGGTTCCTAATGATCAGCGCCAGCACTAAGTGCTGCTGTGTCGATACATGTTCTCATGATGGAGATGAAGGCCATTCAATAACCTGTTTGTTCTGCTACCGCCTCGAAACATCTTGTGGTTGAGGTGCCATGGTCGGTTTCCTCACATTATCTCATGAGCCGCAGCCAAGAGCCGAGTCAGATGTTGGAACCAAGATATTCCCGTCATCATCTCCGGGGGTTCATCGTCATGATGTGGTTTGTCTTAGTGTACTTTCTCCAACAATAACGACCACCATGTCCAACGTTGTCACCAAATTTTGTTTGGACGTCTGCCTGGCTTGCCGTCCCTTCGCCCCGCATACACCAAATTAAAATTTGCTGATATCTGGGGGTGTCTTACCATGGCTCCATGTGGATGGACACCACTACGGCGAGACTACCTACTTCGGTCAAGCTTACGGCGCTACAGGACGCTACAGCTGACGGCGATGAGTGTCGATCATTGAAACTTTTGAAAAGTGTGGGTGGACGTTTCCACGTATTCAATGTTACCGCGACTCGGTTGGTTCCGACTTCGTTTCTGGGGCGAAAATTTCACGCTTCATCTCAACAAACTTACGTACCATTATCTGGCTAAACTCAACCCATGCCTCTAGAGAGGGCAGTGAACCGAGTCCCGAGGACGACGACAATGAGGCTAAATGAAAAAGAAAGAAAAAAAAAGACAGGCTAGCGCTGGGGAATCACTAGTGCCAGACTATGAACCCTCTCTTCCCACTTTGCTAAATTTCGTGCCTGTGTCAATGTTGCCAAGGGCTGTGTTCTCGTGATTCAAGTGTTCGATGCTGCGGCACTACGGACATACGGTGGGTTCCATTGCGCTGGTAGCTCCGAGGTTCTCGCTGCCCCAGGTGCCCGTCAACGGTGCTGCTACGTACCACAATTTCACGGAGATGGAGGAGAAAACAGTTTCTTTCCCAACCAACACATTATGAGTACTCCTAGCCTTGTCCTGTTCTTGGCAACCTGGAGCAATGTAGATGATTTTATTTGTTTTTGTCATCAAGCCGGGTATCGGTCGGTTGTTTCGGCGTTCCAAAAGGGTTGGTGTTGCACGTCCAAGGTTTTGTTTGGTAACATCCGCCGCGTACCAGATCTCGCCTGTGCAACAAACACTCACATAAATGTACCTGATGGGGGAATAACGGGGTACGACACGCCATTTACCAAATAAGTTAACGATCATTCCTCCATTGGGACGTAGGCAATGTCTCTCCATTCAATTGAGGCATGCATACACCAGCCACTGCTACACACTGCATATAGTACAATCTTCTCTTGGCTCTTGCCCCATTTCAGCCTGTTTTCCATGACGTTCGTGATGGTTGCGGTGAGGGTGGCCGCCTCTTCTGCAACCACTTGCGCAAACGGAAAACGGATATCAGATATCAGGCGATGATGCACATATGACCGGTTTTGGTTCACAGTAACTGTGTACACCGGAACTAGGTGATAAACGAACCTGCATCACAACCAGTTCGTCCTCCTTCCGCCTTGAAGGATTCTTTCTCTACCGTTCCTCCCTCTGTCTGTTTGGCAGTTGTGTTGTGTTGTGCTTGTTGAGATGGCGCCATATGTATGATATTGGTCGGTTTAATCCGGCTATCTTCTTGGCACAAGTGCAGTGCCTGACATTAATTACGCCCAGACCATGAGGCCATATCAGGCCTTGTGAGTCCAGCTAGCATTCTACATGCCATGTCACCGTAGCCTCGAACTACAGCGTTGTACTTGCACTACCCGTACTACGCCCCCACTTTTTTGGGACTCGCCAAACTCGCACCCCCTAAAGTGGGTGCTCACCACCAAAACAACTAAACTAGTAAAACAACCACTAGGGTTAGAGGTGTAGATATATACAAAACTCCTAGATAAATAAAAGGCTACAAAATATTATAACAACGAATTTATAAACAGGCAAAGTCATACATATAAAAAGGACTTATCATTTTATTAGGCCAGACTTTCATAATGGTATTTTTCGTAGTGTTGGGAAACATCTGTTTCTCTAGCCTGAATCTGGCCCAGAATTGCACCTTTAACCCTGACTTGGTTGTTTCACTGGGTTGGTTGTTTTGGTGGTGAGCACCCACTTTAGGGGGTGCGAGTTTGGCAAGTCCCAAAAAAGTGGGGGCGTAGTACGGGTATGCCTCGGATGCCAGCGATAGAGTCAAGTTCACGATTACTGCACAGACGTCGTCTGGCTTTGTGTTGCTCTCGGTTTTTCAGCGACCCCGACAACTGCGTATATAGTGGCTTGGTGATGACGCTAGGGAGATCTGTAGATGAGACGAACGAACGACTTTACTGCATCGTGCGATATTCTACGATGAAATCTTCATGGTCACCTAACTAACAACCCATTCGAGTAATTCCTTCACCGTTGCACAGCAACCATCATACCACACATAGTTCCACATCTTGCTATCACACGAAACAAAACAAGACGGTTAGAAGAAAGGAAAAAAAGAACTACAAATAAGAAAAATACAAGAAACAGCATCATCGAACGTGGAGGTGGAAAGTGTTCACAACCGAAAAAAAGGGCAGCAAAAAATCTGGAAACGCTTTGGACGGTGTGAAAGAACACTAAAAAGCATCGTAAAAAGATGCAAAAAATGAGGTTCTATCGACGCGAGCAGGATTTGAACCTGCGCCTCCGAAGAGATTTGATAGGCCTCGAATGGGTAGTTCGAGTCAAACACCTTAGGCCACTCGGTCATCGCGCCTTGGATTTTGTTATGATTTTACTCAAAAGAACTTGTCTATATGGAACATTAGATTTATCCTCCCATGACTCCACGACACACAACTTCCTTGATACATTCTCTCTACTATCAAGCACATGCATCAATAGAACCATTACACTTGATTACATCATGTACTACTTTCCATTTCCCATTTCCCTTTTCCCATCTTCATCTTATTCATATGTCACAAATCGTTTCTTCCTCCCAAAAGCCAGTGCTTGATCTGCTGTGGATGCGAGTCATCTAGGCATGTCACCAAATGCCAGTTCGTACTACTTCGTCCAGGCAGAGAGCATTCTATTCTATGCTGCCACCAAAAAGTGATGTGTCATTTTTATGCGTTGCAAGTGTGTGAATGAGCCTATCACTATTCCCAAGCCAACGACATTACATATCATCCCTTTTTTTGTCAGAGGTTCTTAAATTTATCCTCTGCCTAGTTACTCTAGCGTAGCATTTATATCCTTCCCTCTAGATGCCAGGGTATACCGCATTTTCCCCTTTCCCCCTTATCCATAAACATGAACCTAGATAAACCTGGGGAGATGATGAGCATCGTAGTCCTACGGTACCGCGTGGGGGTGCTTCACAGCGTAAACTGATATCTTGCCGTCGCTACCTTAGTCAGCCCCCCTATACCAAAAATACCAGCTGATAGCTCCCGCGGAACTCATCATCCCCTACAATGTTCTTGTCTATAGTTCGCACACCTTGAAGGAAGTTTCAAAGATATGCTACGGCTACCCTGTGAGAGGTATGCCAGTGGTGCATAGGGAGGGAAATTATCAACACACCATCTTCGGGGCTCTGAGCCCGTCTTGGATCCGACGTTTCTAGCTCCAAACTCCGTGTTTGTTCAGCTGACGACACCTACTACGACGCTGAGTCCGCGTCCTTGGGTCATAAAAAGTTGTTTGATATTGCAACATTGACAGTATCGGAGAGAACACAGGGGGACTCTCCAAGAATGTCTGACTCAGCGATCCAGCAATTCGACAACCTCAAACCGGAACCGGACCAAGCCAAGACCATAAATTCGCCGTTCCTAATCCTTTGGGGATTTCCAGCAACTTCAAGACAACAAATGTGGGAATGTGGCACTCCTGCCTCCACTATCAAGAAGATACATCCATAAATCCCCGACAACCGTACTGGTACATCTGCGATCTTCCAGTAATATGATACAGGTTTTGAAAACTGTCACCACCCAATGAAATGCTGACGAAAAACCGAGTGATAGGCAGTCCACCAAGATGCGACAACAATGTGCGGTTATCGAGATCTTGAACATCAGGGACCAGTGGAGCGCCAAGGTTGGCCACTGTCCAAGATGCATTATGGCCCCCCCATGATGGTTTTGTAAATCCTATGCAATCGGCTTGATCGGCATCCATGGATTGGAACTTCGGTGTTGTTATTGATGGAAATTCAGCGTGAAATTGGATATTCTCCTTTTGCCCCAGATCCGGTGTGGGCTGCATCAAGAGTCGTTCGGTGTTTATTACACGAGTTTAATTTCGTCAGGGGGAGGCGTGTTTCATGTGCCTGGGTTGGTGGTCGATCCCCAAAAAGGGACTGAAAAGGCTGCCGATTGCATCATCTGGAATGAGGCCTGTAACGTAAGGGTACGTACGTACCGTGTTGGTAAAACTACCCCAGACCAAGGTATTTCCGTACGGATGATTCATCCTTGGAGTTGCAATCACAGTTTCTTATGTGGTGTGATTGCCCATCACGTCCTGGCAGCATGGCAATCTCTGCCAAGGTATCCGCCATGCCCTTTTCGTGCTATGGGAAGCGAAATCTACCAATCGGTTGAGCGAAATGGGAATGTTTTGAAGGCCAAGAAGAACCTTGCCTTGCTGAGGGTTCCGGATACGACAGGTACAACAGGTACAACAGGTACACCAGGCATACCAAGCATCTGGGAAAACGCCAGGTGCACAACATCCGTAGATCGTATTCCAGGCTGAATTGTTCGTTTCAAGACCGTGGGGCAATAAGCCGTTGATGACATCAGAAGACAGAATGATCAGCTGGCCTGTCTAACCTAACCACGGTGCCTGGTGATAAGCGGCGGAGAGGTCACTCCGAGTCCCAATGAAATCCAGGGAGCCTGAAAGAACCGTCAAAAGCAGGCGGTGTGATGGAAGGCGGTGGAGGGAAGAGAAGCTTGGTTGGGTCCTCCTGCTTTCCCATCCCTTGTAAAGTGGCATCGTGATAGCCATGAAGGACTGTCTTGGTGGACCAACTTCAGCCGAACCGCCAGCTTGGCAGCCGTCTCAAACCGCGTCGTCCTCTCCTACGGCAGCCTCGGGAAGTTGTGTAGACGTGATCCAGTTTTCCATCATCGCCTGGCCGCCAGGCTGGGCCGTCAGAGCCTTGCCACTCGAAGGCCCAGTAACGGTCTTCTCAATGTTCCGCCGTTTCACGACAAGGCAGAGTACGCGGCCGTAGATGGCAAAGCCCTCGTACGATATGTCCATAGCGAGCTTCTTTTTGTCATCACGTTCTTCCTCCTGAGCAGCGGGCTGCTTAGATTTGCGACGCTTCCTTTCCGGAGGCCCTTCGCTTCCAGCATCGTCGCTGTCACCGATGAACAGGCCATCATCGTCAGATAGGTCCGAGGCAACCGCTTGGGCCTCGTCATCGGTGCCACCCTCATTCTTTGGTCCCGATGATTGTTGACGTCGTCGTTTTGTTCTCCTATTGGCGGAGTCGGATATGACGTCCGTTTCATCAACGGTAGGGATATCGTTTAGATTGACCTCCTGATCTTCGCTATCATCCTCTCGTAGAACGGGCACATCATCGTCGTCGGCTGCCTCCCGAAGTAGAGCGGCCTCTACGTCAACGTCGATAGGTGCTTCACGTGATTCTCCCGTGAGCTTGGACGAGTTGGATTTTAGTTTGGTCTGGACCTTGTCTCGAAAGTGCTTTTGCTTGTGCAACAGGGAGTGTCGAGTGTCTGTTTCCGCAAGAAAGACGGACACTTCAAAGTCATCTATGAAGATGTCAGTTTACAGGTAGTGCACATCAGCCATAACGCGACGGATCAGGGAGGCAGGCTGTTATGGTGTTGGGCCGAACAATAACCAGACATACCCTTGATGACCACGTCCTTGATACTCCGTTTCTTGTTGCTCTTCTTGCTTTGCGCGCGTTCCCTCTCCTCACGCAGCTTTGGCAGTACTAGTGGACGTACGGCCTCGATGACCTTGGCAAGCATAGGATTCCTGGGGTTTAGAAGCCATGAGTGTGCCAAGGCCGGGTTGTCGAGGTAGATACGACATTCGAGCACCGAATACTTTGTGATCCGAAGGTAACGTCTTATCGGCGCCATGGATAAATAATATCTAGTACACGTGGGTTATACACTCTGTCTTGTTAAGTGGTGAGGATGAGACGGATGTTGATGAGCGGGACGATGATGTATTCTTTGTTGACAAAGGAAGCAGTGGTGGGGTTAGCGGTTGCCAGGGCATGTCGTACACCTTAGCTCAGCGGACCGGGCAGCCTTGCAGCGCCGACGTTTACAGGGGAGAGCGGGAGCTAGCGAGGAGCCATGCAGCCTGACGGGGGCTGCGCTGCCCCTCTGTGCGATATCGCGTCGCGAAAATTCACAGCGCCTTGGAGGTTTGCGATCTCTGTCGAGCATTTACTGTATCCAACCCCAACATGAGGCGTCAAACATGTCGAAGAACTGGTCTTCCACGCTGAGACTGCCCAAGTCCACTCTTCCGTAAGAACATGAACTGTCTCTCCAGACATCTGTGCGGATACTGACATCAGACGAGACAGGCCGCGCCCTCTGCCCACCCAACACAAAGAATACATCAAGAAATGCGCCGATGACTTCTACAAGTGGCAGGCCGCCAACCGCCCTGCTGACGATACCTTCCTCCTCCACGATGGCCCTCCCTACGCCAACGGCAGCCTTCACGCCGGTCATGCCCTGAACAAGATCCTCAAGGACATCATCATCCGTACGAAGGTCCAGCAAGGTGCGCGAACGATGCCAGGCAGCTGATTCTCCGAGCGCTCCGAATCTTTGACTGATCAGCTGTGTTGCGCCAGGCCAGCGTGTCACCTACGTTCCAGGATGGGACTGTCATGGACTTCCGATCGAGCTCAAGGCCGTCAGCACCGAAGAAGGCAGGACCATGACACCCCATGCCATCCGCCAGGCCGCGCGCAGTCTGGCTGCCAAGACGGTGTTGGAGCAGATGGACAGCTTCCGGACATATGCCGTCATGAGTGACTGGGAGAACCGCTGGACAACCATGGACATGGCCTTCGAGATCAACCAGCTGCGTCTCTTCCAGAAAATGGTCAGTCGCGGCCTGATCTACCGCAAGTTCAAGCCTGTGTACTGGTCACCGTCCTCCGGAACTGCCCTGGCGGAAGCCGAGTTGGAGTACAACGAGGCGCATATCTCCAAATCTGCATACGTCAGATTTCCCATCACCAAGGATTCCGCTCGCATCCCTGGCCTGGAAGGCTTTACCGGCAATCTTTATGCCGTTATCTGGACGACCACTCCCTGGACCCTCCCCGCCAACAGAGCCATCGCCGTACACGATGATCTGCTCTACCATGCGGTCCGCGTGGGTGATGACGCCTATCTTGTTGCTGACGGCGGTCTCGAGCGCGTTGCCAAGGTCTTGATGGGAGAGGAGGGGACTCCCGAGATTCTAGCCACTGTTCCCGGTAGCCAGCTCACCCAGCTGCAGTACGTCAATCCTCTCCAGGGTAAATCTGCTGCTCCTCAGCCATTCATCCACGGTCCCTTCGTCACGCCAGATTCGGGAAGCGGTCTCGTTCACTGCGCCCCAGGCCACGGTTTCGATGACTACCTGCTCTGCAAAGACTTGGGAATTCCTGTTTCTGCACCTGTTGATAACGATGGTATCTTCACCGAGGAAGCCTATCCCGACGACCCAAGCCGGCTCAAGGGCATTCCTGTGCTTGAGGGCGGTTCTGCTGCCGTGCTTGAGCTTTTTAAGGACAATGTTCTGAACGTGCACAAGTACAAGCACAAGTACCCTTACGACTGGCGAACCAAGAAGCCCATCATCATCAGGGCCACGGCGCAGTGGTTTGCTGATGTGGACAACATCAAAGAGTTGGCATTGAAGGCTTTGGAGGAGGTCAAATTCGTCCCCGAAAGCGGGAGAAGCAGACTCGAAGCCTTCGTCAAGGGACGGAGCGAGTGGTGCATCTCACGACAGCGTGCATGGGGTGTACCTATCCCTGCACTATACGATGCCAATGGCGATGCAGTAATGACTGAAAAGACCATCGAGCACATTATCTCGGTCATTCAGGAGAGAGGCACCGATGCTTGGTGGTCTGATGACCCTCATGACCCTGTCTGGATTCCTGCATCTCTTCGGGGCAAGGGCCCCTTCACCCGTGGTAGAGATACCATGGACGTCTGGTTTGACAGTGGTAGCAGCTGGACCCAGACGGATAGGCAAGCGGATGTCTATCTCGAAGGCTCTGACCAACATCGCGGTTGGTTTCAGTCGAGTTTGCTCACTCGAGTAGCAGCTATGGCGGTTCAAGGCCCGACAGCTGATGGTACGACCAATGCGGTTGGCCTGTCACCATTCAAGACACTCATCACTCATGGCTTCACGCTGGATAAAGCCGGCAAGAAGATGTCCAAGTCACTAGGCAACATCATTTCGGCGGACCAGGTCATGGATGGTTCTTTACTTCCTCCGCTGAAGGTCAAGAACAAGGACAGGGATCCGAATGCGCCTCCCCCGAAGGATGCTCTCGGCCCCGACGCCTTGCGCTTGTGGGTAGCGAGTAGCGATTACACCAGTGACATTGTCCTCGGCGAGCCTGTGCTGAAGACTATCCATCAGTCATTAACCAAGTATCGCACCATCATCAAGATGCTGACGGGCTCGATGGAACAGTCAGCCAGAGCAGCTCCACTGACTGCCTTGGACCACATTGCTCTTGTCCAGCTGAAGGATGCTATGGCGGAGATTGAGAGACACTACCAAAACTACGAGTTCAACAAGGCTTTCAGCAGTCTCAACAGATGGATCGCCAACGATCTGTCTGCCTTTTACCTCGAAGCCCTGAAGGACAGGTTGTACTGCGCCGATGGCGGTGGTGTCCTAGAGCCTATCTTTATGGGCTTCCTCAGAATGCTGGCCCCTATCACACCTGTGCTGGTCGAGGAGGCTTGGGAGCATCGACCTGCTTGGATGAAGGAAGACCCATCCATTCTTCATCCTCTTCATCAGCTTTATAACTCGCCCTTGATTGATTCCAGCCGTCTGAGCTACGATGAAGCCATGCTTCGTAAGGACATTCCGGTCCTAATGGAGACTCACGCCGCCATCAAAGCCGCGTCCGAGCTGGCACGCAGGGGCAAGGTTCTTGGCTCGTCCCTTGGTTGCTCTGTTGTTATCAAGGCTCCCAAGGACAGCAAGGCACTCTCTGTCCTGCAAAAGTACAAGGACGAGCTAGATGCCATGTTTGTTGTATCCTCTGTAGACCTCGGCGGTGCCATAGAGGGAGAGCCTGCCTGGAAGTACGTCCAGGACTTTGAGATGGGTGGTCATGGTTGCCAGGCGTGGGTTCTGCCTCCCAAAGACCATAAATGCCCCAGGTGCTGGCGATTCGTTGCTCCTGCTGAGGACTCCTTGTGCGTCCGGTGCGAGGATGTTGTTGGCGAGGGTGTACAATGAAAGAAATTAAAAGGTTCGACCAAGGACAGATAAGATAGACTAGAGTAGACGAGCCCGTACACAAAATGGATACCCCTCCCCCCTTCATGACATCGGGTCCTGTTCTTCACATCTCCAGCGTGGGCGGGCAATGTTCACATTGTTCAGCCTAGGGGAGCATTTGCATCCCAAGCTGCGTTGTAAACGCACAGTGAAAAGGAACCTCGACGGCCCAAAGTTGGGGTACAGCGGTGCGGAGCCCCACCCAGGCCGCTAAGATAAGCACTGGCGCCCGCTGCGGGGCGGAAATTTTTCATGGATCAGTTCTGGCGATTGGAAGGACAAGAATTCTTTTGTTTTGTAAAGTCAAGCAGTTCATTCTGTCTCCCATATCCAGATTTACCTGATTTCACCCACCACCACAAAGCTTCGTACAGCTCGTATTCTCTGTCAATTATCTAACTCAGCCCCGACACCACATCCTACGAAAACAAATCTTCCAGCATGGATATCTTCAAAGTCCTCTCGCGAGGCATCAAAGCCCAGCCCAAGAAAAACCAGCCAGGCGCACCGCAGCTCCTTCCCTCCGCCGGAGCAAAAGTCAATCCCCAATTCTTCCACGACAATGTCGGCGGCGCCAACGCCAAAAGAGGCAAGAAGAGAAAGAGGAAGGGGACTCAGGCCAACAACGCGACCGAGAGCGGAGACGAAGACGACGATGCCAGCGACGTCGATTACTTTGCGCCCAAGCCCACTCCCGAGGAGCTTGCCGCCAAGAAGGATGCCGAATTGAAGGCGGACGAGCCCAAGAAGCAAAAGCCCAAGCTTTTGGAAGAAAACGAATGCCGACAGATACTCAAGTCCCATCGGTTAAAGTTCACAGTCCTAGCCGGTCGCGTGCCACAAGCCGAGGAGGCTACAGAGGAGAAGCCGCCCAAGAAGCAGAAGAAGCAGAAGGAGGACAAGAAGAAGCAGGAAGAGGAGGAAAAGAAGAAAAAGAAGAAGGACGAAGACAAAAAGCAAATCTACTCGCAGCCGCTCAACTCGTTTGGCGAGCTCAAGTACACTTACGGCATTCACCCCGTGTTGGCGGACAACATCACGCGGCAGGGATTCCGGGTGCCGACTGAGGTGCAGATGGGCAGCTTGCCACTGCAGCTGCGACCAGAGATGGCGTTGGAGAAGGCTACAGGTGTGGAAGACGTCAAGGTTGAAAAGGGAATCGACTTCCTCGGTGTTGCGCCGACAGGCAGTGGCAAGACTATCAGCTTCTTGATTCCCGCTATCGATGCCATTATCAAAGGGAGGGCCGAGGATTACACCCCTGAAACAGACGAGCATATTCTGCAGGCCATCGTGGTTGCGCCTACGAGAGAGCTGGCAAGTCAAATTGTCAATGAAGGAAGGAAGTTGGCTATCGGAACCGGCGTGCGCGTGGTTCTCATGAAGAGGACGCTGCGGTTAGTGGCAGAGTCAAATACGCAGGAGGAGACGGAGCAGGAGGCCAAGGAAGAGGTTAACGACAGTGATAGCGACAGCGAAGCAGAGAGCGAGCCTGAGGAGGTTATGAAAATCGATGAAGAAGAAGAGGAAGAAGAGGAAAGCGATTCTGACGCCGAGAAGAAAGCGGAGAGCAGGGCCAAGGGTGATCAGAAGTCCAAGAAGGAGAGGCCGATCACCAGGGTAGACATTCTCGTGACAACCCCCAAGATCCTCCTCAACTTCCTCTGCGGAGGCGAAAAGGAGAAGGGCAAGCCCAGGATCATCAAGAAGACGCTCCCCACCGTACAATCCCTCATTCTTGACGAGGCCGATGTTCTCCTCGATCCCATCTTCCGCAAGCAAACTATGGGTATCTGGCGCGCCTGCACCCACCTCAACCTCGGCATGACGTGCTGGTCAGCCACCATGGCCTCCAACATTGAAGCCCTCCTCACCAAACACATCGACAAGCGCGCCAAGCGCACCCCCGAACAGACCCCCAAGCCCCTGATCCGCCTCGTCGTTGGTCTTAAAGACACGGCCGTGCCCAACATCACGCACAAGCTCATCTACACGGCCACAGAGCCCGGCAAGCTGCTCGCCCTGCGCCAGCTCCTCCACCCCGTGTCCTCGGCCGACTCGGGCCCGCCGCTGCGCCCGCCCTTCCTCGTCTTCACCCAGACCATCGAGCGTGCCCAGGCGCTCCACGACGAGCTCAAGTACGACATCCCGCTCGAGGCGGGCGGCTCGGCCCGCGTGGCGGTCCTGCACTCGTCGCTCCCGGACTCGGTCCGGTCCAAGATCATGGCCCGCTTCCGCAGCGGCGAGGTGTGGGTGCTGATCACTACGGACGTGCTGGCGCGCGGCGTCGACTTTGCTGGCGTCAACGGCGTCGTCAATTACGACGTGCCCGTATCCGCCGCGGCTTACGTGCACCGTGCCGGACGCACGGGTCGCGCCGGTCGCGAGGGCGGTGTGGCCGTCACCTTTTACACCAAGGACGATATCCCCTTTGTCAAGTCGGTCGCCAACGTGATCGCCATGAGCGAGAAGCAGGCAGGCAAGGACATCGACGAGAAAGATACCGTCAAGGCCGCCCAGGGTAGCGTGCAAAAGTGGCTGCTGGATGCGCTGCCCAAGGTGGCCAAGGAGGACAAGAGGAAGTTGAAGGTCAGGGGAGTGGAGAGCAGGCGGACAGGCGGAAAGGCGACGATCACGACTAAGAGCAGTTGGGAGAGGAGGAGGGAGAATAACAGGCGGGAGGCTATCGAGGCTAGCAAGAGGAGAAAGAGGGAGGCGCAGAAGGCGCAGAAGGCGCAGAAGGAGGGCGGTGCTGCCCCTGAGAAGGCGGAAGAGGAGTGGACCGGCTTGGATTAAGAAGCTGGGCGTAGCCGTCGGGGCGTTCATGCAGATAATATTGTCATTGTGTTGACGGGCGGATGATTTAAAGGATAGATACCCTTACCGTGTATATGCTGGTAGACAAAAAGAATGCTTGCTGTTGGTTCACATTTGGTCAACTTGTCTTAAGAATGAGCATCGCGTATCTTGGTTATGAGTGATACCAGCATGAGCGAAAACAAACACAGACAGCGACGGAGTATAAGAAAACCCTGATCATTAGAGTATCATAACATCATATCACCGCATTGCCCATTCTCTCTCTCTCCGACTCGCATCTCTCAGGTCAAACTTTCCCCGAAGACACTCACAAGCCCTGCGGCCTAAACTTCCACCTACTCGGCTCAAAGACAGCCTCAAATTCGACAGCCGAATACGTTCCAATAGCACAACTCAAATCATGAAACCCCTCCAAGCCTGTGACCGGCAAGTCCTGTTCCGCATCACCTTCCTCATGCAAATCCCACTGCTCCGTGATCCTCCCTTCCCTCGTGAAAAAGACATTCACATCCAGCCTTCCGCCGGTGTTAGTAAACGTCATGCCGATACCGTACGTCTCCCCCCTTCTGAACGGCCTCGTAAAATCCTTGCCTCCCCACCGATCGTTGACGTACTTGTGCCCGTCATCGCCATGCACGGCCAGCGACCCACGATGCCAGCCTGGCATGCGGAAGGCCGGATAGGGAAGGGCTGTGAAGCCTAGCGCTAGGGTGATTTCGTCGTCGTTGCCTCCTCCTCCTCCTCCACCGCCGCCCAGAAAGGGGTTATTAGATGCTGCCGCCGCCGAACGAGAAGGAATTGATACCTCGTAGTAAATAGACTTTGTCGTCCTCTGTGCGGCAACCGAAGGGATCAAGGGCGAGTCATACTTGACACAATACAATGGCGGGTAACTAATAATGCATGCATCACCCGCCGCCTTCTCCGTCTTGCCCTTCCACACGCCCGGGCTGACCCAGTCGAGCTTGCCGCGGAACTGCGGGGATGCCATGAGCCGGATGTTGTGCGTGCGGAGCGCGTCGAGCGCCACGGGGTCCAGGTCCATGGGTGCCGTCAGCGGATTTTGGACGCACCAGGCTTCGCCCGCATTGGCTTCTTCTTCCGTGGCGTTGGTGGTATGCGAGCGGTCGTAGCCGGTGAAGAAGGCCGGAGGAGGGGGGAAGAGAGCCGTGTCCGGCACGAAGGATTCCCAGTCGTGTTGCTTGTTGGCGGCGGCGGGCTGGAACTGGGAAGGTGGAGGGCCGGGAGGAGGCTGGGTGTAGTCATCGTTCATCGGCGGTCGGTGATGAGAGGGAGGAGGGCCAGGAGGAGGGGCGTAATCGTCATAATGGTGTTGACGTTGGGAGGGAGGAGGGCCAGGAGGAGGAGCAAAGTCATGGTTGCTTTGGTTCGGTCTGGCGTGGGAAGGGGGAGGACCAGCTGGCGGGGCAAAATCATCATTTGTAGAGGACTGGTTATGTCCCCAGCTCGGAGGAGGACCGGATGGAGGAGCGTAGTCGGTGCTGGAGTGTTGCTGGCTATGCCCAAAGTTTGGAGGTGGTCCCGAAGGAGGGGCATAGTCATTCTGACTGCTGCCGCCATGAGCTGGCTGTTGCTGTTGCTGTTGCTGTTGCTGCTGCCATTGAGGCTGCTGCTGATAGTGGGACTGCGCCGGTGAAGGCATGTTGACTTTTCCTGAAGCCTGTGGTGACTGTTGATGCTGTGCTGGTCGAGGACCGGGCGTATCGTCGGTCTTGTCTTTGCTCCCGAAACACATGGTAAAGTGCGTGATGGATGACTGGGCTAACTCCCGTCTCTTGTGATGTAGGTAAAGTAGTCGAGGTTGCCGATTGGGTGGGATGTCTTACACACCACTAAAATTTGAGTACGCAGCAGGTGCGGGCGAAGTGGAAGTGCTCCGATCTTTAACCCGTTCAGGGGGGTTCAATTGGCTGCTCTTTTGTATTGACATGTTTGTAGTACGAATCTGGCCAGTTGGTCATTGTCTAATGCTGGTCCATTTCCGTCCGATCGGACTATCGGACGCTTTGGTGACAAGCAAGCACTCTTGCAACATAAGTATGCACGCATCCAAATTATACCCGACTACATCATGGTGATACTTGCTTAAGTCAGTAGGTGCCAGTTGGAACCAGTCGAGTCTCTTAGCATACCGAATTCCAAGTGACGATGAGAAAAGAAGGAGAAGTCCCGTTACCTGGTACAGTCGGCCGCTGTACCCCGCAGAATATGCCCTGAACTGGCAGGGTGTCATGGTTCTCCACCCCCAAATAACCCACTAGGCGCAGGGGCAGCGTCTGCAGTAGTCTAAGCCCCCTGGCACCCCATGACGTCGTCGTTCGGGTACGGATCGGGGAAAGTGGAGGCCTCCGCCGGAAAATAGGGAAAAATCCACCGCAAACGCCGGAGCACTACCGGCCGATGTCCGACTTGGAAACTCCGAGATTTGGGGCCATCCGGACGTTGAACTGGACGTCGTACTCCGCAAGCCCACGCTGTCGTTCACATAGTGTCATTTATGCTCCATGTATGCCTGGCACTCATGTTCCATCCTCAACAACGGTTCTCGTCTGCTCTGCTTACTTTCAGCCTGAGGCTCTCCTAAAAGCCATCAAAATCTGGAAGGGGCGAGAAATTGGTAAATGCCCGAAAAACTCCCATAGAATCATACATAGAGCGAGATACATCACCCCTGCCACAGCCACTCCTATGCCAATCCCTCACCAAGACCCCCCCACACCTCCAGCTGCCGTCGCCGCTGTTGCCGCCGGCACAAGCATAACACTAAACGTCGGTGCTCCGCTCCCCATGCCCTGGATATGCTGCAAATACGCCTCCATCTCCATGTCGTCGCTAACCGGTAACGGCAACTCTCCGCCTTTTCCATCCTTGACGATTCCCTCGATTGCCAGGCACACCACGCCCGGATAGTTGGCCACTGCGGTGCTGCGTAGTTCCTGGACGGAGCGGCCCGATAGGGTGGCGATCCAAATGCGCGAGACCACGCCTTGGAGAGGCGAGGATGCGTGAAGGCGGAAGTAGATGGCCATGGAGGACGAGGTGGTGGAGGTTGACGAGGTAGTTGCCACTGGCTGTGAGACTTGGACTGGGGGGACGGAGGCGGTTTGCTGGAAGTGCTGCTGTCGGGCTCTTGCTTGCCGCTGGATGGCTTCCTGCTGGATGCGTTGTTGCTGTTGCTGTTGCTGTTGCTGTCGCTGCTGCTGCTGTTGTTGCTGTGTATACATGGCGAGGGGTGGCGGTTGGGTCTGAGACTGGGTTAAGCCATGGTTCGAAGGGGCATAACTTTGCTGCATATGGTTACGGTTGGTTGTGTAATTCTGCGTAGCTTGGGAATGGGTTTGGGGCCGACTTTGAGTTTGAGCAAGATTCGGAGTGTGTGAAGAGGACTGGGCAGTAATTGTATTGGCACCGACGTTGGCGCCAGCACTGCCCCTTCCACTGGCAACATGAGTGTTGGCAGAATAACTCCCAAACGAAGTGTCGGCTTCAATTGACTGTTGCAGCAGATAATCCGGATCCAAGTTGCCGTTGTCCGCATCTTGGGCATCCTGATCCGCTTCGCTCTCCTCCGAGCTTGACGATTCCGGTGGCGCGAGCCGCACAGCTGTATGCGGCACCGTTGCCGTGGCCGTTGCCGTTGCCGTTGATGGCCCCACCGTATTATTCTTCGGGGGTCGGCCACGGCCCCGTTTGGGTTGAGCGGCCTTCGCGGCCTTCTCAGCAGCCTTCTCGGCTCTCTTCGCAGCCGCCTCAAGTTGAGCGGGCGTCGGGACCGGCTTCGGTTTTGGAGGAGCACGCTTTCTAGGAACCTTGGGAGGCGGTGGGTTCAAAGCATCCTTCTCCAACTTTGCTTGATCGCCTCTGTATCTTCTCATTCCGTCACGGGCCAGCAGCTCGATAGCCCTCTTCCTCTCTTTGGCGTTAGGCCAGTGCTCACAGCCTGGAGGAAAGAGTTCCTGCAATAGTTCCGTGGTGTCGAACCATTTCTGTACCATTTCATTCCACTTGTCGATACCTTCGACATGCTTGAACCCAAACTTCTCCTGACCCAGTAGCAGGTAAAGCGTGCCGCGAATGTATCTACCCTGCTCCGGATTCAGCCCGAGGAGGTTGCGGGCCTGTGCTAGTGTCATGTGTGACTGCATCGTCCTGATCCGCTTGGTCACGTCGCAGCAGATAACATCGATCGCGATCTTCTTCTGCTCCATGTTGGCTTGATCCCACATGATGGCGCGGAGATGCATGCTATCGCGGATCATCTGCTCCTTCATGGCTTCCCACTTCTCGGGCCCGGCAATTGTCTTCTTGATTACGTTGTTCTCCCTGCAAATCTTTTCAAAGTTCTCCCGCAGCGTCTTGTAGGCCGCAGCGTCGAGCTGCAGGATGACCTTGGCTTCGTCTAGGGTTGTCTCGGATGGAAAGCGAGGAGGCAGACCACTCGGGTCTGGAGGCAGGCCTGCCCACCCCTTGGTTCTCCGTCGTCGCTTCTTGAGAGCCCAACGTTCTGCCGACTCTTGCTCGAGCACCCGGCGCCTCTCTTCTCTGCGAGCACGTTGTTCGGGGGTCAGTTCGTCATCTGGGCCAAGTGGCAAACTTGCAGATGCTGATTTCTGGTGTTGCTGTTGCTGATGTTGGCGTTGGCCATGTGTGTTAGACGACCCTTGTCCATTGTCTTCGGCGGCGTTTTCCTCCTCCTCATCATCATCTTCTTCGTCCTCCTCGCTACTTACCTCTTCGCTGTCATTGTCGCTATCATCAGCGGAATCACTGTCACCGTCACTGCCATTGTTGTCGTCATCATCTGTTCCGTTAGCCGGTTGCCCAGGCGGCCTGATGATGCCTTTTCGTAAGTCTTGGATAGTCTTCAAGCGCAATTTCCAATTGTACTTTTGACGGATCCTGTTGAGCGTGCGATCGTTTATGTCGTAGCCTTCCTCATTGAGGACGCGCACCATCTCGGTTGCTTTGAGGTTCTGTTCCCATAGTTCCTTGACTCTGGCAATCAACTCGGTGTTGCTGTAGGCTTTATTGACCCTGATGGGCCAGCCCCATTCCCTGAACTTGTACCAATAGGTACGCCGGCTGGAAATAAAGCGTCATGGTCAGTAAGCCAAGCAAGGTAAACTACGTGGAAAGTTTGGTGTTGAGGAACAGGCTGTCCAAAGCTGCAGTTTTGCTGCGCGAGCTGTATACACCGCCCAAGACTCCCATTCGTTGTACTGTGTACGGCGAGGGAGATGGACGAAGAGTGTTGTTCACGTACCTGGGGGTAAATCCATGGTTTTCTGCCATATACCGGGCAACTTGGGCAAAGCTTCGCCTTTCGTCAACGTAGAGACGATGGCATATGTCTTTATAGGGATCCCAGTCGTAAGTCATGGTGCGAAATTCCCTTTACAGTCGTGGTTGTGGACGCGGAGTTGGCGACGATTTGCTACGGCGGTCGAGGGTCCGACAATTGTGAAATTGAGTGCGCGGGTCGATCCACGCGAAGCCACGAAAGGTTCCATCTCTCGCTCCCCACCCCTTCCAAAACTGATCCACCAAAACAAAGGCAGACGGGACCGCTCGTAACGCTTCCTTAGCAACGATCAATCATACAGCGAAGCGTGGAATCAAAAGAAGAACTACCTCTATGGTAATAGGGCATTCGATTGCAGTTGAACTTGTGTATTTAGCCCTTGATTTCGTTGTTTTATCTTGTTATGAATATGGTAGTGGTTTTGGTGGATCGGCATTTTTACGGGGGACAAGCATGATCTTTGCAGGGGAGCGCCGCGTTCTGCTGCAGCTGCAGTGAGGCCGGCACCGACTGAACGACTGACTGAACTGTTGCCGTACCGTATTACTGTAGTGTCAAGGTAACACACTCTAGCTGCGCACTGTTAATAACTACGGCCGGGTTGCCCCTTTCAACGTTCTCGCTGTTCACTAGGAGCCGGGCATCAAAGATAAGAGGTAACCACATTGATACTAGTGAATATCAGATGTCAACATTACATTAGACTGGTTCATATGCAGCACAATTCGCTCCCAGGTCAATTCGTGATTCCATTATCGCATGATATTCTACCGCTTGGTGTCCAGCAGCCATCATTAACATCGGGCCAGTCCCATTTCGTCAGAGCCGTACCCGTACCGGTAATCGTTCCCCAAACTGCTGCCACAGACCAGAATCCAACCAACCGTGCCAGCCCAGTAACTGATGCACATTGAAGCAGCAAGTACATAAACAGCTCAGCTACATCCCGTGATCCGGTGTGCTGGCATGTAGAAAGAAAAGGTATAAAATGTCCTCCCTCATAGCTTCCGCATATTCCTTATGAATCAACCATATCCTTCGTCCTCTGTGACATTGACCGTCCCTGTGGCGTCTCTCTAAGCACTCTGGCCCGGCTCGGTCGGGTTAGGGGAGTAAAATGACACCAAGGCTATGATGACGTATGTCGCACACAACAGCGCTCCCTCCAAGTAGTTACTCCTGCCATCCAACACCAAGAAATTGACGATAAAAGCTGAGACGAACAGACAGACCGTCTCGAACAGCGTGAAGTAGAGCGTCATGTCTTTGTCCATGCACCAACCAATAATGACGACAAGCGGCGTGATGAAGAGGGCGATTTGGATAGAACTACCCACAGCGACGCCGATCGCCAGATCCATCTTATTCTTCATGGCAACGGTAATAGCCGTGACATGTTCAGCGGCGTTGCCGACGATGGGAAGGATAATCAAGCCAATGAAGAGCTCTGGAACCTTGGCAGTCTCGACCAGGTCGTGAATCGAGTCAACCATGAACTCGGCGCAGACGGCTACCAAGACGGTAGATACGAGCAAGAGGATGATAGCGCTGACGCGGGACAAGTCGTCGGGATGATCGCCGTCTTTATCGGGGATAGCGCCGTCAACAACAGCGGACATTGGAATCTGCGAAGGCATCAAGGCACCCTGAGGACGGTACAGTGATTGGCTGAGGCGGTCCGGCAGCGAGTTCGTCCTGCGAATGCCGTAACGGACGCGCGGAACAGGGCCGGAAGAGGCCGGTGGAGAGTTGACGGAATCAGGGCCAGTGACAAACACAGCCGGCGCCAAGTTCCTGGCAACAGGACGAAGGGACATGCCGCGAAGACCGGGGAAAGGGCGGCGGCCAGCTGACGTCTCAGCCTGAGCGTTATCGGCAGAGCTAGCAGGTTCCACGGCAAAGTCGACACAACGGGGCTCGCCAGGCGATAACAGTGTTGGCGCAACATCCGGCTGAATCTCGGCGTTTTCATCGATGGTTTGTCCATTCATGCACTCCTGAGATCCGTTGTGGTGATGCTTCTTGTGCTTGTGCTTGCGATGCTTCTTCATGTGTCGCTTATACCGGTGCCGCCTGCGGTGATGCTTCTCGTCTTCAACAGCCTCCTCGTTTCCTTCAGTTGTAGGACTACGCAAATTAACGGCCAGTGCGGGTCGCGATGACGATGCCTCTTGTGTGGCTTCATCGTAGCCAGGGACAGCATCACTGGTGCCGAACGAAGGGGTCCTTTCTTGACCTGCAACGACGCTCTCGCTCGTAAGGTTGGAAATGATGCTTGACTTTCTCCTGCGGTGACCACCACGCATTACACGTTTCATTCTCTTGGAGACTGTCTCGCGGGAATAGTCCGAGTCCGACGAGTCCGAATCTGTCGAAGAGTCGCTGCCAGAGCTTGAGGAATCGAGCCAGCCGGCGGCGGGTCCCGGAGTAGACTCCTCATCAATAATATGCTGAGGGGTGGATTCGTAAAGGTAAGAGTGAGACAAGAGCTGAAAGAGAAGATAGATGACGTATACGAGCAGAAGAATCTGTGAGAAGTCAGCGTTGGAAGTTTGCCGTCGGAAATAAGTCAAAGCTTACAACACTGGTGCCGCGGCTGATCTTCAAAGTCTTCTTGTCGGCGTCATTCACGTCCGTAAAAGAATAATGAAAGGCAGTCTGTAAGAGCGTCAGCAGGTCATAATCAAATAAGATGGCACGAGGATGAGCATACAGGCAGGACGAGGCTAATAACACTCAAACTGAGAAGACAAGCACTCATTTGGGTGACGGTGCTGTTGTAAATCTGCACAAGTTGAGTCAATGACAAGGCTCCATTAAGGGTTCACATTTCAAGCAGGTGATTGAACGAACCTGTTCACGGAAACGAAGACCGCCAAGCAAGAACGACATGCCCAGGATGAGGAGCAGGTTGGCCAAGATTGAGCCAAGGAGCGAAGCCTGTACGATGCTGAGCTCGTCCTGAAACCGTTGTTAGCAACATTAACCCCGTGGTGTGCGATTAGAACTCGGAAAGCTTACTTTGACGAGGGCGATGCTGTAAACGTTGAACGAAACGGACTTTGTAAGCACATGGACAAATTTGGACAGGGAATGGCGCACCTGGACTGGCAGGGCAGAAAACGTACATGCTATCGAAGATAGGTGTGTTAGCACAGCAGTCCCAAAAAGTTAGGGGACTTTTTTTTTTTTCTTCTTCATTTTTGGGCTTACAAAATGATCAGCTCTACAGCGTTGCCGAACGTGACATTCAACAAGGCGCCGAGCGAGTCTCCAAGCTTACGGGCCACGCTTTCGGTGGCATAACTGAGGAGGCCGGCAAGAGGAACGATGGCAAGGGCATTCATGGCGAAGATGAGACCGGGCGAAGAGCCTGGTAGCTGGCTGACAACAATGCCAACAGGGACAAAGACCAACATCAAGTTCACGAGCTTGTTGTGAAACAAGACCTGCTTGAGGACCTTCCCAAATCTAACTGCGACGTTCGGCTTCTGCTTCTGCTCTTGTTCCTGAGCGGCAGCAGAGACGGTAGTTTCTAACTCAGGCCCCTGCCCCGCAGCTTGGTGTGATGCAGCCGTCGGGGATTTGGCGCCATTACTGCTATCCTCCTTGTGATGGCCGCCGGTTGATGAAGAGTCTGTGGAGGTCTGGGGCTGTTCGTGCGCGGAGGGCACATTCCCGCCGCGGCTGCTGTCGTTGAGCGTGGCATTCTGGCCGACTGTGGGAGTGGTGTCGGTTGTGGTAGTGGTGGTGATGGGAGGAGAATTGCTTATGGGAAGCAAGCTGACGGGGCCTGGAGCTCCATGCGTCTTGGGGTTTACCCAGGAGCGAATGCGATTTGTGTACGAGGAATTATTCAAAGGTTCCTTCATCGAAATGGACCGGTCAACTCGTTCGAGGGAGGGCGTGTACTTGTTCAACCGCACTGCTCTGCAACCGACGGAAAAGAAAGATAACTGAAGGCTCGAAAATGCAGATGCGGGGGGGATGTTGTAAGTCCGAAACGAAGTTGTTGATGCCAAGTGGCTTGGGGATTATCACTACTAGGTTGGTTGCTTGGGCCGGGAAGTCGGACAGATGTAGAGACAACGTTGGGCAGGTAGCAGATAGGCACCGGGGTTTATAAGGCCGTGCCAAGAAAGGGAAGAGGTGAACAACTTAAGGTGGGACGTGGGTGGAAGGGGCAAAGACCGGGGGATCGACAACAGGCTTGGCGTTGACTGTCGTTGCCTGGTGGGGCCAACTGGCTGGGTATAGGTACCTAGTGCCCTGGGAGGCCGCTGCGAGACGGGAGGCTGGCTCGCTTCACCAATCGGCACGCTAGGCCGAATTCGTCACTTCAAATAGGTGTGAAAGGGTTCAAGCGTGCCACCCGCTGACCTCATCCCGGACTCCAATGCGGCGGAGTTTGTTGATAGGTATTCTCCGCGGCGGTGAGGGCTGAATGGAAACAGGGCTTGCCGTGAGTCGCTCCTGGGTGGTATCCAATGTCACCCAACCTAGTTTATACTTTGGGGCACGTGAGCGTTCCCTTAAGCCTTCTATCTACTTTCCGTCTTTTCTAGATTCACGATTCAGATCCAGATGCGTTGAGTGGTTGCCGTAACGTGGCGTATGGCTGGATAAGTGTATCGCTTGTTATGATGTGGAAGAGGTCCCTTGAATTTATTTTACACTACACTACTGAGGTGTAGTGGACAAGAGGAACACATGGAAGAAGTGGGAACACGCAATGACCCATCGATTGGGACGACCAAGCTTCCCCCGGTTTTCCTTTTTCAGCAGTCATTTGACCGGTCGCATTGATCATTCAATGTTGTTATAGCACCACCAATGAAGCTCACAGGTCCGCAACACAATGCTCATATCGGACGGTGAGCAGATTAGCTATGGTTCTGGTATCCAATAGTCGCAATCCGCAAACTCGTGCGATCAGCAGAAAGATGGACGAGATGGAACCTTCCAAATTCTTTGGCAATGCCGCTGACGAGGTGATGCATATCTATGTGTATACAAGTAAAGCGGCGGTCAATGCGACAGCTGCACAAGCCAAATGTGGCAGTTTGGCTGGGTCCAAGCAAGAAGTCGGCAAAGCAACATTTGCAGGGTGGCTGCCATGGCTGCTTCGCATAAATGGCACGCTTTAGCTTACCTTCACCTTTAGGTAGTGCAAGGCCCATTTACTACCTATGTACACCTTCCTGCCATTGCAGCACGTAACCCAGCCTCCGACCCCCTAGTGTGAAACCAGACGCTGATACTGAGACCAAGGTAACTTTTTGATGGCAAGGAAGATACTACTGTGATTGACGGCCTGGTTCGATGAAGAGGAATGGCGGAGCTAAGTGCACCTTTCATTGATAACGACACCACCCACTGCAGCGCGAGGCATCGCTTCATGTGGTTGCAAAGCCCATGCGCTGCAGGTACCTAGCTGCGGTCGCCGGTGCAGCTTACGTCCGTTCCCCTTGACAAAGACCTCAGCCATCCGTTGTCGTGGTGCAATACCCAAGTCGTAACAAAGGCCTTACAGTAGGTAGTCTTCATGGCCGAATAACCCGAGCGACTCACCAAAAACGCAGAATTCAAGCTAGCTTCATTGTGGTCGTATGACAGGCGTCGTCCGTCAAGCCTAACCCGTGCGTCAAGTCTCGCAAGATGTATCATCGTCAAAGAATCATAGTAACTTTTTGTTTGTTTGGCATCAGCTCTATGTCGTGAAAAATCTAGTAAAACCAACACGCTTCGTGGCTTCACAACACAAATCGCACATCTTCCGATTCCCCCACCGATGATTAAGTCATTTAAGGAAGCAACCTCTTGGGCGTCCTGGGGTAGTACGCCGCAAGGTGGACACTAGGCAGGTTAAGGAACCACGCAACCACGCGGTCAAGACCGATGCCACCACCACCGTGGGCAGGCACACCGGCTTGTCTGAACACGTCGACGTAGTCCTTAATTCCGGCGCTCTTGGGGTCAACACCCTTCTGGATGATGCGGGCCTCGAGCTCCTCGGGGTCATTGATACGCTGACCACCCGACAAGATCTCCTGGCCGCGGAGGAAGAAGTCGAAGGCGTTGGTGACTTTGGGGTTGGCATCGTCGAGCTTGGCGTAAAAGGGTCTCGCACCCTCGGGAAACTTGTCGAGCACGTAGAAGTCCGTGTTGAACTTCTTGCGGACAATGGCGCCAAGGGCCTTCTCCTGAGGGGTGCTCATGTCTTCATCGTCGGTCACGTTACGGAACTCCTCGGGACCCTCCTCGCGCAGAAGCTTCTGACCCCTAGAATTCAGCCGCGTCAGCTATCACGGTGATGGCGATTTTCAGGGGCAGGTGGGGTTTGCTAGGGAAATACATACTCAGCAAAGGTCAACCTGACCTCCTTGCCAGGCTCGGGGAGAAGGAACTCCTCCGCGGGATAAACGGAGCGAACGAGCTCGATCTCGGCCGCGCAGCGTTCTTTAATGCCGCGGAAGATGTGAAGCAAGACGCCCTCGAGCATGAGGAGAACCTCTCTGTAGTCTTTCTTGGTCTCCATTTCCAAATCGAGACCAGTGAACTAGGAGGACACATGTCAGCCCCAAAACTGCCCTTACATTTCCAACATCCTTCGCCTAGCTTACCTCAGTCATGTGTCTTGGGGTGTTGGAGTTCTCGGCTCTGAATACGGGACCAATGCTGAATACGCGCTTCCTGCCGCCAGCAATCTCAAACTGCTTGTAGAACTGAGGAGACTGGGCGAGGAAAGCCTCCTTGTCGAAGTAGGGCATGCGGAAAACGTTGGCACCACCCTCAGAGGCAGCACCGATCAAGCAGGGAGGCTCAAACTCCTTGAAGCCGTGGCTCTTGAGGTAGGACCTGAACAAATCCTTGACTTCCATACGGATATCGGCAATAGCCTGCTGAACAGGGGCGCGCTTGTGCATGATAATGTTGTCGAGATGGGTGAGCATGGTGGCGGCGGGGATGGAGGACTCGGCGGCGATGGAAAGCTTATCGACACCATCCTCGGCAGCCTTCTCCGGGGCGGGCTCCTCGTCGCTGAAGTTGGTGATGGGACGGTTGGCGGCAGCCAGAGTCATGCCGAGCATCTGGGGGGCAGCGGCGAGAACGAAGATCTTGCGGATGTGCAGCTCGTAGTTGGAAACCTTGCAGCTCTTGACGGGCTCGAGGGGCTTCTGGACGGTACCCTCGACGACGACGAAACTCTCGGGGTTGATACCGGCCGCGAACTTGACCATGGGCTTGCTCACAGGCGTGCCTTCGTTGCTGGCGACCAAAACACCCTGGATGGTCCACGCGCCCTCTTCGCGCAGCTCGACGAATGCCATCTTGGCGCTGTAACAGTGTAAGAAGCCGGTCAGCCCATCTTGCTGCGTTGGTGGCTGTAGAACAGACAACAGGTCCGGAGAAGCAAACCTACCCTTGGATTCTGGCATTTTGGACCCAGGCCCTAACAATGACAGCCTTGCCGACGTGCTCCTCGCCAATGTTCTTCAAGTTGACATCCTCGACATCAGCCGACAGCTCGAATTGTCCCTTCCTCTCCTTGACGACACCATAGTTGTCCTTGGCGAGATCCTCGGTCGGTCCGGTGGTTTTGCCGGCAGCCTTAGCAGCGGCCTCACGCTCAGCAGCGCGGCGAGCCTTCTCGGCCTCCTTCTTGGCCTTGGCCTCAGCCTTCTTTTGCGCCTTCTTGGATGGACCCTCGCCCTCGCCCTCAGCGCCTTCGGCAGCGGGGGCGGCAGCGGGAGCAGCGGCGGGAGGCTGCTGTTCGGCGGGGGGTGCGGGAGTGGTAGCAGCGCTGTCGGCCATGTTGCTTTGTTGAATTCGATACTAGCGTGGTGTAGTAAAGTGAATTGGGCGCGGAGACCTGATAGTGGAATTCGCGGACGCGGAAAGGTGAATTTTGGCGGGGCAGTTCCAAGCTTCCGTCGGAAGGGAATCCAATGCCCGGCGGCGGGGTACGGTGACCCTGATAAGGACCGGACTCAGCAGGTGGCCTGACAGTTGTGAGTCAACAATTGGCAGTGGCGAACGGCTGCCAGTACGTACCATTTCGCGATTTTGTTTACCTTGGAGGTCAGGTAGGTCTAGCCATTGGATTCAGGGGCTGTGAACGGTCTGGTCTAGCCATCAAGGTCTCCCCATTCATGGTATCGTGTTTGGACTTTGGACCAGGCACGCCAGGGCTCACAGGCCGTGCACGCTCAGTGGTCCGTCAATCAGTGCGTTGCAGGTTGGGTATGTACAAACTCCGTTCCACTTTGCAGTAGAGGTACATCATTCAACTCCAAGAGCCTCACTTCCACGACTTCATCGCCACAGTATAGTGTTTACCTACAATGGTCATACCACTCAATCGCCACCTTGTGCACATGGGTCCCCGCCGTCGGCAGCATGCCATCGCTCAACTTCGCCCGCCACGAGCAACATAAGAGAATGCCCACTCGATGCACACCCTTATCGACATCTCCTCCTTGTGAATCATCAGACACCAGTTCCTCGACATCAAACCTATCTTCTACTCCGCGTGCTCATGAAGATGTGAAGATGACAAGTTAAATACGGCAAAAGTGTAAACAGGCTTCGCTAAAAGAAATCATAACCATATGATCCGTGACATCTCAACAGGTACATAGAGGTTGATACTGTTCGCAGAGGAAAGGATATCGTACGCCCCTTCATGCATGCCAAACTAGGTGATAGATAATCAATGACAAAACCACTCACTACCATACATATCCCCCGCTTGCCCTATAAGCTGGAAAAAGAAAGTCTCTGGAACCTTTAACACCAAAACAACTCCAGCTAAACAATAGTAGAGGGCATCCCACATTCGATTGTAACTCCCTTTGCCAACAAGGAGTAGAGAGATACGAAGACAGACAGAAGAATGCAGAAGAAAAAAAAATAACAAAAAACAACTTATTACAAAAGTGGCACAAAAGATGTCTTCTTGTTTCGCAGCCCCGTCCTAGCCCCCGTTATGGCAACCTGCCCATGGAGGGAACATCCGTCTTTCTCCCCGCCACACACACTCGGTCTCCCTTCTTTAGCCGTCGCAATGAGTAGATATAAGCAACATTCGTAGCTATGGGTATATCCGCATCCGAGGTTGCCACTGATTTCTGATACAACAGTGAGATGACTCGATATAGACCTATCGCTCAGCCGCCAATTGAGATCAGGGAAATGGCTTTTAAGATCTGTTCGTTGCTCGATCTCGAATGATTACAAAGGCATATTGACGAACTCCCGTTCGCAAGTAAGCTGCGTGACCCAAAACCCAGCCGTCGAGATAGCCGACCGTCAGGTCCCGCGCAAGCCACCACAGGGCCGCCGAAAATAAAAACGAAGCGAATGTCCAGCCCTATTTCATTGATCGGCTGCGAGCGAAAAGCTCATATATCGATGGTATATCCGTTTCGCCATCACTTCAGTTATTTTCACCACCCCGAGCCTTGCCGCGTCTCCTGAAGAAGTCCATAACCTTTCTTGCAGGACCGCTGCTGCCGGAGTGATCGTGAGGTCGCGCAAAGCCATCTCCTTCATAGTCCACAAAACGTTTGTTCTTTTGCAGAACACCTCGATTCGCCCGGTTGTTACCCTTGCGGGCATCGTATAATCCGTCCTGCTGTATCATGGCCTGCAGTTGAGGAGTCGACCCAGGTGCCTGAGGCATGCTGTTGACAGACGGGTCCGATCCAGCGTTAGGCATGGTCCCGGGCATGAAGCCTTGGCTAGCGGATGGTCGTCCGTATTGGTATTGAGTGTTGACCGCTGGTGAGCCCTGTTGCGAGTCCTGAAGCTGAGTGTACATCCCGTCAACAGTGGTCGCGCTCACATTTTGTTCCCGGCCCAGAAATTGGTCAACGGATGAGGGCTCCTGGATGGGCAGGTCCTGTTGTGAATCGAGAGCTGGAGGCTCATCCTCTTTGTTGTAGCCGAAGGCCCTTGATAGCGAAGGGGGGATGAAAGAGAACCGCTTATTAGACTTCTCCTGAGAGCCATTGGAACCAGTGATACTGCCTCCAGAAGACTTCTTCCCCATTCCCATCGAGAAGGACCGGCGAGATCGCTTAGAATCCAAGGACGGCCGAGAGCCATTCTCACCGCCTGGCATAGAGTTGTTCATGCTAACAGGGGGATACCTCTTGGTCTTCTCTCCAGCCTGTTGAAGCTCCTGCTGTCGCTTGGATTTCCTACCTCCAAACAACGAGCCGCTCCGGCCAAAGAGCTTGCCGCCGATTTCGCCCATAGTGCTGGACCTTTTGTGGCCCTTGACAGCGCCATCTTCCCGTACCTTGTCAAACCTAGAGCCCGTGCTGATGCTGGGCCTGCCATATTCGGCGCTTTCGCTCGGTTGCTGCTCGGCGGGGGTGGTTGTAGGTACGCCAAAGTGACTGCTGCCGGATCCTTTGGAAGGCTGCTGGATTCTGCCGTGTACGTTAGCGTCAGCGACTTCAGGTGGTGCTGGTTGGGCGTACGAAGGTCTTCCTGACTGCATGGACCCGCCAGTAGTAGGCCTTTGGGTTGGTGCACCTGCTGCCCCTGACAGATACTGGTTGTCGGCGGTGGGACGGCCGTCACGGCTCGGCCTAGGAGGAGCCACTGCGTTACCCGTAGTGGGAGCATTTCCACCATTCTGCTGAGAACTTGGCGGTCTTCTCAAGGAAACCGGGGGTTTGTTGTTGTAGGCGTCTTTGGGGGCGGAGGGGCCCTGGGAGAGCTGCTTATCCTTGGCCGATGTGGTTGGGCGACTGTCTGAGGATTCCACTGGTGCCTGACTCTCGTTACGGTTTCTGTTGGCGTTACTGGAGGGCTGCTGTTGTCCCGCAATATCACCTCTTTGAGTTGTGGTATTCGGAGCAACATATTCGACCTGTACTGTCCGACGCTTGTTATCGCGCTGCTGTTTAGCGTAAGCAGCCTCTGCCTCGGGGTCCACAGTGCCTTGCTTGCTAACCAAGCCACCGATGGCCGGCGAGGCGGTTGACTTCTTCGGCGCCTCGCGTACCGAAGCGCTACGAGCAAGGTGAGGAGGCTCTCCCTCGTCCTCGGCAGGTACTGTCGTGTTTTGGATCTCGCTAGGTGTGGTAGTGGAGGACGTGATGAACTCGACAACGTGCGAATATTCGCTCAACCAGCTGTGACGGGCTACCTCAAAGAGATCCGCTCGCTTTCGCGGATTAGGTACCAATATCCTCCGCAATAAATCCCTAGCATGTGGCGTGACATATTCGGGAAACGTGAGAGGCGTGTTGACGATGTACTTGTATAACAAGTTGATGTTATCGCCTTCGGGATTCGCCGGATCGTCGTCGAAAGGGAGATAGCCAGCAAGCATGGCGTACTGAACTAACGTCAGCTATGGTTCAGGCGGCAGGACGGGGGGCTAACTCACCAGGATGACGCCGCAGCTCCAGACGTCTACTTTCCTTCCGGTGTAGAGGGAGTCACTAACTACCAATTCTGGAGCTGCGTAGCATGGACTGCCACAGCTAGTCTGCATAAGATCTCCTTTTCGCCAGCCAGCGTCATTGACCTTATCGAGGCCCATGCGCTTGACAAACTCGCGATCCGAAAGGTTGAGCTCTTCCTCCTCGGAAAGCTCCTGATTGGGATCGAAGGTATTGGCAAACCCAAAATCTGTGATGATGATGTTGCGGTTTCGATCTAGAAGCAAATTCTCCAGCTTCAGATCACGATGCACGATACCCTTCTTATGCAGATACCCTACGCCAGACACGAGCTGGGCAAATAATCGCCGGGCGGCATTGTCCTTCAAATACCGGTGATTGAGGATGTAGTCAAACAGCTCGCCTCCCGATGCATACTCGAGCACAATACCATAATGCCTGTCAGACTCCTCCATCTTATGTAACCGAACAATGTTTGGATGGGTCAGTTGCTTCAGAATCGCAACCTCCCGCATAATCTTTGCCATGCGAGATGGGTTGTTGCCTACTGTGTCCTTTTTGATGAGTTTGATGGCGACCTGGTCATGGGTAAATCAGTAAACAGCATATTTATGGGCGGCAAGACATTATTCGTCCTACGTACCTGGACGCCGCCTTCCTGCTTCCACCCAAGCTTGACCTTGCCGAATTCACCCTCTCCAATCGTATTGCCGAGAATATAGTCGCCAAATTTGGTGTGCTTTTCTCGCTTGGAATGATCGTGTCGGCTTCTATGACCACGCCGACTTTCCTCTCCGTGGTCGCCTCCAGGAGCCGCCACAGCCTGCGACGCGGTCTCTTGACGGTGGTGGTGGTTGTAGTTACTCGCCTGCTGTGCCTGTGCCTGTGCCTGCGCTTGTGCCTGCGCTTGTGCTTGCGCATGAGCTTGTGCTTGTGCTTGAGCCAATCGCTCCCGCTCCCGCTCTACATCTATTTCGGGTTGTTGTATTAGTATGTTGTTGAGGATCTCGCTCGCTTCTCTGGACGACTGCTGTCTCGAGCTGGTGGCATTGGGCTGAGAGCGGACGGGTAGTGATGTTGGCGTGGGATTCCCTCGCGAACTGGTCGTTCTTTGATGCGCATCCTGTGTCATTTGATGTTGTCGACGGCTCCGAGCGGCAGCCTCGTCTACGACGGCTGGGTCCATGGTGCCATTCGTATTAGATTGTCGAGATGCAGCGGCCCGGTCGGCCGCCTGTTGGGCGCGTCGAGAGCTGGTGTTTGGGTCATGGCGAGACGATGTTCGAGGAGGTACGGCGGTAGGCATATTATTTCGCCTTCTGTCCGAAGACGACGGTGGTTGGTCCGAAGCAATGGAGGTCACGGGAGCCGGGATGGACTGGGCAAAGGCGGTGCGGGCGCTCATGTGAGGCTCGAAGCCGGTCGGTTGGTCGTAGGCGCTAGGTCTTCGGGAGTGTTGTTGCGATGATGTGTGCGGCGATGATTGTCCGGCGTTGTGCTGGTTTGCATAGTAGCCGGAGCCGGGGCCTTCTCGCGTTGTCGGGCCGGGGTGGAACGACGAATATTGGCGATTGGACGGCGACGTGGTAGCGGATACTGATATGGACTGGTTTGGCGTCGTTTGGAAAGCAGTAGACATTTTCCGCCCTCTGATGCGCAGAGGAGAGAGAGAGACGGGGGGTGAAAATGGCCGCCGGTGAAGACAGCGAGGTGCGAAGCGAAGCGGCGGACCGACTAGTTCTAGGTAGAGGAGACACTGGGCAAATGTTTTGATGTTGTGTGGGCAAGGAGCTGGCTCTCGGCTGCTACTCTGGCCCAACGCAGGTGGGCAACGCTGCGATGGATTGCCCAGTCCCAGTTGGGTCTCCCGGGGGGGGGGTCTGCTTGTTCTGGGCTTGCTCAACTTGGTCCGGTACCTCTACTAAGTAGCAAGCCCGAGAAGCCAGAGCTGGGGATGACGGTGGGAAGGAAGAATGAAAGCGACAGGAGAGATTAAAGAAAAAAAAAAAAGAAAAAAAAAAGGCGACGATGGTGCTTGACACGTCCGGGACGGGCTACCACTTTGGAACACAGTACGACCAAATAAAAAAAAGAAGTTTTTTCGAGCCGAATGCCTCAGGCTGTTTGCGTACAGACGGGAGCCAACCGTAGAACTAAGCAACCGCTTACTAGGTAGCCGACCTCACTAGCGGTAGTAATGCAGTACCTTTATTGTAGCTGTTTTCACCAACAGGCTAGACCAAATCTTACCTGTACGTATGGCCGGCGGTCACTACTAAGGTATCTTGGTCCTTGAGTTTCGCAGTTCCTTTCTGAGGGGTATTGCAAACCGGTGTTGAGGTTTGAGTGCCTCCTGTCGTCGGATGTCAAAGTGGTGCAAATGCAATGTCGGCAACGCGTGGTAGTGGAAGATAACCCAGCAGTCAGGGCCCGGGGAGTCCTTGTTTGCTTTGGGCTCTTCTCAGTCACAGAACAAGCGGTCCGATGGAGTTGGGCGAATCCGAGTCGGCTCTTGAGAGACTGCGACGGGCGGATCCGAGGGTGTTCCTGACACTTTGCTGTACGATGACCGTCCTTCCCGCTCTGTCGAGGCCGGCATGCAACCGGAAGGGAAAATGTTCGATCGTGTGGTGTAGCAAAGGAGTCGCGTTTTTGACTTTAGTTTGAATCGTAAGGCAAGAAAAACTAGATGAGGAAGTGCAAGCTGCCGTCATCAATTCGGCGCACCATTCCCGCAGTGCACTCAGGCGGACAGCCGAGGGCATTTGCTGTTAAACTAGGTTGTTACCAGGGGCACTATCGGGTACATGTGCCCACCGACGCGCCAGGCGTCGAGAAAGGTACAGTAGGTACCTTCTCCACTGCTTTTACACTACACAGCCGTACCTACCTAGGTAACGGGATGACACCCAATCTTACAGCAATCAATAAAACACGACCTCATGTCATCCATCACAGTTGTAGCGTATATCTCGGCCCTTTCTCATCAATGGCAAGTGTACTGGCGGGCAACAGTTCCGTTTCCACGCCCAACTAGACCGATGAATAAGGGCGCAAGACTCGGCGGTTGATCTCGTTTTTCCCTTATGTTACCTTTAGGGTCCTGCAGCTCAATGCTTGTCTGTGCAGCACCTTGGGATGACCCACTAATGCTACCTTCGCATGGTCGACAGCATGGTGAAGGTTTCAATACAGCAGCCCTTGACATGGAATCGTTCATTCCAAAGGAATCCATCTCATGAATCTGGCGAGTTTCAGTCTGTGACCACCTACTTTGGGACAGACAAAGGCCTTGTCAGCTTCCAGAATGGATTTGTTTGGGCCATGCACCGGCCGCGCATTGCCGTCATCTCGATTCCAGTCCGTAAAACCCACTCGCTCACCCACTTCATCCACTTACCACATCAACTCCAACCGACCTTGAAAAAGACGGACCAAATGCAAGAAATCTTCGTACCCCCCGCTGCTCAACACAGCCCGGTCCTCAACCCTGGACGTCGACTTGGGCTTAAGCAGAATAGGAGATGACTCTCTCTCACCAGCTCCGCTCTTTCTAATTTCAACGGTCTCCAGACAAACCACGCTATGTACCACCGACCTTCGAAATCTGAGCCAATGATCTACGCATTTCCTGGCCGGCCCTGCCGTATCCGAATGCTCTCCACGGCTTCACCACACTACTACAAGTCAACTTTTGAAGTCGAGTAACTCCGTCACTGTCGACCTTCGTTTGGCTGTGGTTTGGCGGCTTTGGGTACCAGCAAGGTAGCCGGAAGCAAGCCCTCGCGCTTGTCCGGTTCGGGATAGACTTTTACGCATCGCTCATCAGGGAAGCGCAAGGGTTAGGTTCGCAGCTTGCAGCGAGTGCTTGCATAAATGTGCAGCGAACACACATCTGTTCAAAACCGGCGTCGAGGTTAATCGGCTCACAAACAGCCTACATTCGCAATTTTAATCACTCAAACATATCAAAAGTCCATCTGGCGAGGGGGAGTTGATTGGCAACCAGAACCCCGAGACTGCGACAAAAGGGGCTGCTCTCGTTAAAACGCCTTCTGCGCCTCTCGCCGCGAGGTATGGCCGTGTTGACCATGTTTACCGCCAGATTAAAATCCCGTACGCAGGAATCCCCTTTCCATCCCGTTCCATAGGAGAATCAGGGAGCATTGGAAAGCATTGACCTCCCGGACCATACTGATCGCCAATCGATCCATATTCCAGGGATCTTGGTCTTCCATGGAACCGGCCAAACTTCTTTGTCTAGGTCAACATTGGAAAAATGCGAACGCCCAGCATGGTCCGCATCCTTGCAAGGGGAATGGTGTGGCTGCCGCCCTTTTCACTCATGAAACATCTGTAATGACGTTGTATGACAGCAGGAGAACAACCAGGCCTGGGTTTTACCCATATGGACAGATATCAGACCGGATGCCAAAAGGAAACTTGTGCCAAAAAAAGGGAGGTATCGATCGTTCACGGGCCAATTGATTCACCGTCGCATGGCGTCTATTTTTCAGATGTCACCACGGTTTACCGGGTCCAAGTGAACGTCAGATCGTTTCACCACTGCATTGCCCTATTTGATCCTTCCAGCGACGATTTGTAGATTGCGACTCCAGCCGAACCTTCTTTGTCTGGCGCCCAACCAGCCGGGGAATTCTTTCGCTGACACGCATACTGCAGAGGTATGTATGTATGATGTATACGATCTCGAGAGATCTCAATGAAGCCAAAAATGGGGCAAGTGGCCGCAGCCAACCAACACCCAACCGGCTGCCGACCCCGGATTTACACACGACTCGTACATCAACATCAATATTCCACCGTAAACCTGCGAACACCTGAACCCCCCCCAAAAGTTTGGAGTTCAGGGCGGAGAAAGACCAAAGGGCTACTACTGAGAAAGAAAATGTACCTACAGAACAAAACAAGACACGACGACGCTACTGTAAGGGGCAGAGTGAGTGCTTGCAGGTCAAGTGTGACAACCCTCCATGTCCAATTTAAGATCTGGGAATACCACATTACGTATGTAATGGACATGTGAGTGGTTCGTACCCAGCTAGGTACTTACATATTTACATACATAGGTAAGTCGGACTTGGAGAACGGTCAAGTCAGGAATTAATTTTAGTATGTGCTGAACAACAACATGCATGAACAGATAGGTACCCTGACGGACTTTATTTTTACGCATGGCGGCTCTTCAAACTCCAGGAGGTCTCCTGCGACAGATGACGGATCCACTGCAAAGCTTGAGCTAGTAGCACCCTGAAAATTTCCAAAATGTAAGAAAGAGTAGAACGGTGGCGTCTATACTACAATTCTTCTACAAGCATCTTTCATCATAACATGTTATACTAGTAGATAGATTGCAGCTCTATGTTGCGTTGTGGCTAGTTTGAAATCGACCTGGAAGCGTCGAGGCGGCGATGTTCAGGGCAGTCATACTTAGTTGCGCCTTGTCCAAATACTGCACCATCTACCATAAACAGCCAATAACGGGTTGGTCACCTTGGCGGAGTGGTTAACGCGATGCCTTGCAGGTGACGTTTCCTTTTTTTTTTTTTTTCCCCTTCCTCCTTCTCAACCTGGACATCAACTTTGAAGAATTGTTTATGTCAGTGTGTGTTCAGATTCGCAGTTCATTCAGCTTTTATCGGTCGGCCTGGTCTCATTCGCTCAGTTCGTTACCGACTGCCGTGTACTTCGTTGCATGGTCCTTGCCTTGCGTTAGGTAGTACTGTTAACCCTGCACATAACGATCAAGTCCGTTACCGAGGTCTTGATCGTAATACCCAGATTATCGTTACTCTCAGACAGGCTAGTTTGGGCTTTTGGACCAATAATAAGACTGGTGACAGCTCAAAGGACCCACTCTGGGTCGTCATGAGCTGTAACGGCCTGTTACTGGACGTCTCAGAACTGAACTGAACCCCCTAAGTATAACGATTTTGGTGCGGCTCGCCTTTGAAATCTGATCGAAATCGTAATGCGAAGGTTGATCGTTACTCCCATACTAATCTGCACCGTTACCGTGTTCTTGAGCGTTATAGTCAGATTATCGTTATATAGCTGATCGTTATGTGCAGGGTTAACAGTACAAGTTTCTTTCAAACTCTCACCCACCCATTTGGACCGCGCGCCGAGCGACTGCGCCACGTGTGGCGGCGGAGCGGTCCATCAGAGGCTGACAGATGCGGACCACATCTGTCATATATACTAGAGACTACGTTTGGCCGGTACGTACAATACGATACTGCTGGTTTTCTGATCAGTTTGGTTATTCGATCATGAGATGGATAAGGAACTCTTGGAGGGTTTATTGGTCTTTTCAGAAGGAACTATCCTCCGTTCAAAGTAAATAATATAGTAGAAGTAAAATAGTAAGGGCTCATAACGCTACAGAAGTCTCTAATAGGTGTCCTGTTGTGTTTCTCTCCGTCTCCTCCAAAGCCTTCAATATCAGGAGATAGGTATTACTCTGACAGCGTCTACCCGATAGAGAGCCAAACGCTTTCCAATATTCAGTAAAGCTATAGATGTCTGGTACCAGATTAACGAGCGAACCAGAGCTGGATCTATGTAAACTCTGCTTTCAGCTGCTTCTTCCGTTTGCAGTGTTGATTACCCAATTTACACGACAGTAACCAACATGAATTCTTTCATAGCCTAACAAAGATCATGCCAGCAATCGCTCTCACAAAATGACATATACAGAGGCCACGCTGATGGTCTAGTTTCGTCTACTGGGTTGTCCAATTGAGTATGATTCCTCATTTTTGAGTGCATCGCAAAATGTGATCAACCTCACGGACAATCACCTCACACTATTTTCACAGCTTGATAGTAAAATTGTACTCATCCAACCCAACCGCCACCGCCGTCAAAGCACCCATGTATGCGACCAATATCCCTACCGTCGCCACCCGGCCGACATCAAGCGTTGGCACCGTCATATTGACCAGTCCCGTGAACAGGTTTGCTAGCAAGAAGATGGCTAACCCATTCCGGTTATACGCCCTCAGCACCTTGCTCGTTGCCATGTCATATAGCTCCTTTTCGGTCTTGACATCTTGAGCGCTGTAGAAGGAAGGGAAAAGCAGCGCATCCACAAGGTAAAAGGCGAGAAGCAGGACGGCGTTGGAGGCGGCCACCCAGAGCATGTACGGCAGGTTGGCCATGCGGCGGGACACGGACAGGCCAAAGCCGTACTTGTAGTCGGTCGCGAAGAAGTAGAGAGCTATCCAGACGAGGGACCAACCGGTCATATTGAGCAGGAGAGACCTACGTTGAACGGTGCCGCTAGTCTTGTTGTTGCTGCCGCTGATGCTGCGGCTCAAGCTCCGCGGAAGAACGAGCATACCAGTGTCTTGGCCGGCAAGAAAGATGGCTAGATAACCAAAGAAGCTGAAGACGCCTTCCCTGTTCATAGACAAGAGATCATTTCGCGGTCCGGTCAGGATGTAGGCCTTTAGCGAAGTGGTCTCCAAAAGCACCTGATACACCACGCCCAACAGGAGGGCCAGGCCAGCGTACGAGGGAAGAACCTTGAGCGCGGACTGGAACAACGCGACGAAAGGCGGTAGGAAGCCCAGGGTAAAGAAGAAGTTCCAGTGCACGCCGTACTCTGTCACATGCTCAGCGTAGTCCAGCCCCTTGACGCTCAGCAGGCGGATGAAGCCCAGCATGAGGAGCGGCAGAGAGTGGCGCAGCGATGTCTTGAGGCGGGTGCTCAGGGGTGCGGCCTTGCCCTCGGCGCGCTCCTTGAGGACCGGCCGTGAAGCGACAACGCCGGCCGAAAATACGAAGGAGCCCACGCCCATGTCCATCAGCGAAGTGCCCCATGTCTCGACCTTGGCGAAGCGGCGGGGGAACAGACGAAAGTCAACGGCAAGGATGCAGATACAGGTGACGATAAGCATGTTGCCGCGGTAGTTGGTCAGGAAGGGCTTGGTGGAGAGGACCCCAAGCGGTTGCTCCGAGGAGCTCTTCTTGGACTGGGCATTGGGAGGAAGCTGGGGCTTCTTCTTTCGGGTATGAGCGGGAACGAGATAGACAAAGGCGGCGACTGTGAGGAGAAGCAGGTTAAGGAGCAGGGGCGCCGAGGAGTATAGCGTCACTGAGAGCAGGAGAGCGCCGACGTTGAGGAGAAAGTCGATGGCATAGCCTAGTGGTGTGTAGGGCCTGAAAAAGGATTGTCGAGCTTGGAGGACGGACCAGACGAGCGAAACGACCTAGGAGAAAGACAGCGGTTAGCTCCGGTCATTCGACTTGTGACATGATTCCTACGGACAGCAGCATCCTATTCCGATCCTCCCGGGGGGGGTGTTGTTTCATACAGGTGCTACGGCGCAGACTTGTGCGATTTCCGAGACGGATCCTCCTGACAGGTTTGAGACAAAGTCCTCTTTGAGCTGCTTATAGCTCTGGGTTGTTGTCGAGTCGATGGCCATGGAGGGCGAGGGTCGAGCAGCCGTTCGACGTGCTAAACAAGGCGCCAACGTTCGAGAATGACGGGACTTGATGGGCGGCCGTGGGAGATGGGAAGGGTGAAGCTCGACGGCTAACGACACATTGCTCCGGGCGGGAAGTGATTGGCCTTTTTTTGTTTTCCTCGTTTGGAACGGATGGCGGAAAACGAGAGTTGTCAGAATGAGAAAAAATGGTCGCGATGACAAGTGGAAGTTGGAACCAAGTTTCCCAGCTGGTCTCAGCCTTCCAGTTTGTCATGCGTGGAAGGAAGCGACTGAGCTGCTGTTCAACGACGCGGCGACGTCGACCAATCGTGGAGGGGACCTGCCTGAAGCTTGAAGGTGCCAAGACCAATCCCAACGGCCTTGGGGTCACCTTATAGAGCCGCAGGAGCGATCCTGTCCAGCAGCACAGACCACTGTGCATTTGAGGCTTACAGGGGGCCTAGCTGGTGCCTGTCCATCCTGGCACTTCATCATGTCAACATGCACCGGGCAACCAACTCAAAACATGATGTCTCCGACTTGATCAACTTTCAACTTCACATGCTCTACCTACCCAGCTTCCAGCGTTTGCAATTCCAGCGCCTATGTCTCACAGTTCGGTTAGTCTGCCGAATGGCAAGAATGGAATCAACGCCCAACCTCGGTTCTCAACATATTCCCCTCGGTTCCACATTCTGACGGCGCCTCTTCGTCTTTCTTTGTTCGGCCGTGTCCCATTGCAGCGGTAAGCTGAAGAGATAGCTCGGCCTGTTGCATCAGATATTTCACAGCTCAGACTCTACACACATCGTTTTGTCTTTGTTCAATATCCTCCATATATCACCGAGGAGCTTTGTCATGCAGGACTGAATCTGACTCCACGGCTCGAGGAGTTGGTTCCTTTCAAAGCAGCTCCTTTCTTTGACTCCGTCACCCGTCAAGGAAGACGACACAGACGCAGGCCGACAAAAGACAAAAAGATGGACGCGTCCGTTATCGTTACCATGCTCTCACCAAGCAACCAGCAACAACCTCTTGGCCGATCTGCACCAAACATATACTACTAACTGGACCTCGAACCACTACCCGTCAACCAGTTCATCTGTGTCTCGTTGAGGTTGTCAGGACTCAAAACAACAAAGCCAGCTAATCACTATGGAGACACGGACAAGAGCACGGCCAACACTAGAGCCAGTGCAAACTAAACTATTGCACCATGGATCGCCTGGCTCGCCACGTCGTCGTCCCTCTATTTTCGAGCCAGCACTGAGGTCCCATTGTCTCCCAAGTCCTCTCCATTCGAGCACGCCAGGGCTGGACCAAGGAATGAGGCGGCACGAGCGAGCAATGCTGGACAGTCTCGATCAGCGGCGACCTTCTCAGGCTCGTAAAGACTCTGCTCACTTGCTGCCCCCAATTCCCGAGCAAAGTCCACCATCACGAGAACGCCCGTATGATGCCTACTCACCTCCTCCTACCTTGGCAGCTCGGACTCGCAATCACCTCCTGTACGGACTTTCCGATTCCCACCTTTCACCTACTAGCACTCATGCGGGTATAGGGCGCCGCCAGTCGATGCCCACGGGTGTGCCATCAGCGTTACCCACATCGATACCTTCGGCAGCCTTACCATCACCCGTACGGGTCGTGCATCAGCAACTTGGCATAGGCCGACAGAAGGCTCAGGAGCTTCATGGAAGGCATATCTTTCAAGGATGTTTTGTGAAAGCAGTCGATCTCCGGAAATTTAGCGAGAGCTCAGCAAGTGGCGATAATACAGCTCCCCAAGAGGTGGTGATGGATGATATGGGTCAGAAACTCAGATATGCTGCGAGAGCATGGTCACCTGGAAAACCTGAAGGTCGTCATTTTATCAAGTACTTTTCCCAGGCAGAACTGAGAAAGGCCATACCAAAAGACGCCCCGGAGCCATTGGTCGTACCCAGGCATGCAACAGATCACCCAAGTCCGAGGAGAGCTTCTCTAAGTACCTCTCAGAAGCGCCGTTTGGATAAGGAACATCGTCGATCGTCCGCCCCGATGCAATCAGCAGACCCGTGGAGCGAAATGACACTACCAATTCGTAAGTACCTTCATTCGTGCCCTCCATCAGGATGTTACTAATCTCGTCATAGACTATCATCTAGCACGATATTTCTTCCCGCTTGTTGCTGTATATCTGCAGAGTGGGAATGTCGAACCTGAGGACATCTTGGAACTGCCGATGCCTCACCCGAAGGCGTGGTATCAAACCTTCCGCTACGCTTGTACTGAGCAGGGAGAGTTAACGGATGCCATCAGGGAGAACATCAAACACTTGGGAGGGAGAGTGTGAATGGAGAGGGAACTGTCTCATTGTGCATACCAGAAATAGCTGTCTAACGAGTGTTGGGCCGTGAAATAGTCTAGGACAAAAGGAAAGCGGCTTACAGTCGAAGCATCAATGTCATATGATCCCGGACGGGAACTCCTCTACCACCTTTGTGGCTTTTATCCTTGTGCGTCTTTGTTTGTGAACCTCATCCTTTGCCTTCCAGAATCCGCTTCCACGAGCAGATAAGCGAACCACGACCAACAGTATCTCGCCGATTATCACTATCCCGCTCAACCACCAACTGCACTCGGGGACACCTACAGAGGCTACTGAACCCTTTGTCAGGGTACGTTGGTGATATCTCAACCAAGCTGGTATCTGCCCCTGCCTTTTGATTCACATACATTTTCCAAATGGCAAGCTCCTGAAGCACTGGAGGAGAAAGCCATCGCCCGCTTGTTGCGGCCGCCTTACACGTGCACTTGGTTTTATCTCCAAACCATCAAGGTTTGACGAGTGCTGGACCTGTACCAACCGGGGTTGCCCTCCAATATACACGAATAGTCTTGTGGCGGCGAATAAATGGCAACATGTCTTTGAGGACTGCCTCGCCCATGTACACTGATGACTGATAGAAAGCCTCGGCTACTCTCATACGAGCTGTGAACCAGTATCAGAACCAACGGTTGAGGAGATACAGCCGAAAGAGATATCTACAGGATATTCCTATACTCTTCTAGGACAGTCAAAAATCAGGCCTACCCAGTTGGTGTCCTATCTCACTGTGTTTCGCAGCTACAATGCCCCAAAGTCATTCATATAACCGCCCCTTTCTATTCTGAACTGGCTCCGTGGTGCTTGTCTTCTCAGGATCATTCACGTTGCCCGCTTTTGGCACACAATTAGTTTGTGAGATAACCCAACATGTAGCCAGCCTTTTGTGCAGTGAAGGTGTTCATCTGGCTAGATGACCCCGATGAATGTTCGGTCTACATACACCCAAGCACATGACATCCAGACCTACCTTTCAGCCAACTCACAGAACATGTCAAAGAAAGAGTTGTCCTCTGAAGACTCAAGTCGTGGTCATTGTCTACCATCTTCGTCATACTACCTTTCATGTCGTTGATAACAATTCTCTGTGTAGTTTATGGCCTGTGTTTTCCTGGCCTACATCCGGGACTGATTCTAGAGGCTGGGTTCTCGTGTCTCTTCGTCCAGAGCCCTAGAGGTACTTTTGTTGTCTACTGACTGTAAGACAACTGTGATGGGACATGGTTTCTGATCCCTCCTTGTTGGCCCAATGCAACGGGCTATATTCATCAATCACACCAACGCGATTATCTTCTCAATATCAAAATTTTCAATCTTTTGTGTCTTCCGTACACTGTTCATGATTGACCTAACGGAGTAGGGCAACCCGAGGCCCTCAATGCGAAATTACAAATGTTAATAGGTACCTTAAATTTGCTCTCAGTTCCCATTTACATGACCTGTCTATAACTCTTTCAGGGTCGTATCACTGAACTCTTCAAGGGCCCTGCTTTCCAGTTTATTCGAACAGGCACATTCTTGCGTCACGGCAGGTTACTGATGCCAAGTCTAAGACCGCGTATACGCATTCAATAGCCATATCTTTACTCACTACCTCTACTTATCTAAGGACTGACAGCATTACTGGACTTCTCTTTAAATAAAGATCGAGGCACGCCTTGTGTCAACGACTGGTCATGATGCGTGGAATCAGCGTAACCTCGATGGATGATGAATGTCTTGATTGTTGTCTTCTAACTTATTCAGGGAGCTGAAGGCTCCGTTGACGAGCCTTATATACGGCTCATGCTCAGGGGTAGCTGCTTCCCTCAACGGGTACTGCTTCCTTCAACGGGTCTCGTAGTTCCCTCATGGGAAACCCCGTGTCAGGCCAGCCCAAGCGTGGGAGGCACGATTGCCATGTCCGTCTTTACCTCTATGAGGGCAACGAACATCAACGTGCATCCTCCATATTTCAGTCTCGTTTGGACTTCATCTTCTCCAATCTGCTGCATCTTTTTACTATCTCGGGACAGTCGTCACTTCTGTACCTGTCGCGGTACATCCACCCAGTTTTACCTTTGACAGTACACCTTCCTATCTCCCATCTTCTGTCCGCTCACCGAGACCAGCATGATCAATCGCTTGACTGGCACCGATCTCCAAGGTTTTTGTCTGTCGCTCCTTACCGCATACCGTGGTTCAGCATCTCGATCAATCTCCCGTGACGTACAACCACGTTCACAAGCACGGTCTGCTAAGACACCACCACCTGCATGACCACGCCGACACTAATCTCATCGAGATTGTGCTTTTCATAGAGGTTTGGATGCGACCTTGACGCAAAAACACGAAAAAAAATATGAGTGATCGTCGTGGACATTGTCTCATGAGGCCTTCCAAGAAATCGCTCTCACCTTGATTAGCTCGCTGTGAACCATCGAGCTGCAAGTTATGGTTATGGCTCCCTTCACCAAGATCCTCCCTCAAACCCCAGCACCTCGATCTTCAGGCCAGGCCCCGGAAGCCTCAAATCGCTAATCTTTATCCTATCTCGATCCTTCGAGACGAGATTTTCCCACACAGTATCCGTGAGTGTTCTTCAATTTGCTCTTTCTGAAAGCAAAAAACTGCACAGTGTACAAGAACGTGTTTCCACTCCGTTGATGGAGCCCGTTTTCTTGTCGAACTCAACGACAAAGCCAAGACCATGGATAAACCCACTCTCCACAGCTTACAATCCACACAGTTTCTACACTAAAGATCTTGTGAATTGATGACCCAGAATCAACACTATCGACGGCAACGCAAGGTCAGGGGCAGCGCATAAGTCTACGTAAGTCTCACTACAGCGCATGCTAATTTCCGGGCGGATGGAGTACCGCCGGGGCCTGCATCGAACTCAGATCAGGATATCCGGATGGACTGAGGAGTTGCCTTTGCTACGTAGTGTGTAGTTGATTTTGGCGAGTCTCTGCTCACGTAGTACGTAGTAGTGTAGACAGCCGAGAGCTAGATGCAGGCTCGAGGACCGCAAAGATGTCAAGTGGAGGAAAGTCTTTCCTCAAGCGAACGAAGGCTTTGGAATAAATACATGCTGCTCGACAACTGAGAGTCCTTTCTGTATCGGCCCTCCGATCAGTTTCGGACTTAAAAAAAAACGTCACCGGAGACATAGTATGACAACAACAGTCTCTCTCCCCACACACACAAAGACATCCACAGAAAACCACCAGGCCACTTCCCTAACAGGCTACTTACCGACACACGCCATCCCACATCAACAAGGTCCAGGCCTGTCCTGCTGAGAAACTATCGGGGAGGGATGTGTTTCAAGGGTCTTCCCCCTTCAGCCCTTTTGACGTGGTTCCCTGAACCTGGATAGTGCACCTAGTACGGAACTTTAGCGTTGTACACTTTCATGGTTCTCCGTTTTCCGTCTGCAGAACCGCAGAACGAGTGGTCCATCTTGCTTCCAGTTTTCGTTTCTTGCCGTTTTCTCGACGTCTGTTGTACACAATCACCCGCGAAGTACCTATATTAACCCACAAGGTGCAAAGAAAAGAGACTCGAAGAAAACAGACCTTCGATCTGTTGGACGCACCAGAACTAGGCGGCCCTTTTTCGAGGGAGAGGGAATCGAGGATCGTTACCTCCTTTCCTCACGCGTTACTACCTCTACTGCGAGCGCCACAGTTTTCCCATAACACCGGGACCTAACTTAGGCCATCCTTGCCAAACTGCTACACAAGTCTCACAAGTGGCATGTTGAATGGACACAACGCAGGACTGTGTGTTGACATGTCGACCTTACGTAAAGCATGCTTTAAACAGATATCATGTATTGGAAAACTTCATGATCATGGAGTCCAGGTCAGTTGCCGAAGCTGGAATGGAATGCAAGCTTGTGTTTCAACGTATGTAGAAAGCCCGAACGAAGACTTTGCCAATTTTTGTTTCCAACCATTCAGCAGTACCGAGCACGATGGAGGAAGCAGGTACAGCTCAGACAAAAAGATGGCCAGATGTAGGTACGTACATGCCTTAGTAGCTATGACTACCTCTTAGCTACCATGTGTGTTTTGCACAGCTGTATCTCGAGAGACATCTGGACCTGCTCCGGAATTAAAAGCTGGAGATAGAATAGATACTAGGAACAGGTGCCGGGAAATGATCGTTACCCAGCCCTAGGTATCCGCTTTATCCCGGAAAGGTTGGCGAAGCCGAATATTCAGGGTATATACGATGTCTCTCGGACATTAAAAGCGTGAGGTGGTGGGATGAATCTCAACCCAGAAGAGGAAAGAACGATTTATGGCCTGAGAACATCAAAACATCCTGGCATCCAGGGATGTGTTGATTGCTGCCGGTTCGTTACCTACTGTTCTTGAGCATTGTGATTACGGCATGCTCTTTTATTTTTGTTTATTCTGTTCAGTTGTTATATACCACCTCTTTGGGCACCTGTCTATCCATACTCCGGTTGATCAGAGTATGCAGATATGCCTTTCACGCTTCTCGCTTTCACGAATTTTCCCAAGATAGTGGGTTAGTTCACGGACAAAGCTGGAGCTGACTAGATACTTTGCCCGTAAATACACAAGTAGCAGACCCGAAGCCCACTGATGCCTACATGTGCAGATATAATCTCATGAGAACAAATGTTTTTAGCACACTCACAACCTTTCTTTGCTTCCCCACTCAATGGAAATCCCCCCCAAGTTGCTCCAAGTTGCTCCAAGTTGTAGCAGAGTTTTTCCCTTCTTTGTTCGCACTCCCAATTATCAATATGCTTACATCCATCATCCATGTCACTTGTTTTCGACGGTCCAGTTAGATGCCCATCCGAGTTTTCTGCGCCCCATAGTATCTCTTTGGGCCCAAAACACCGGAGTGGAAGGCCGACTGTAGCGGTCTGAGTGAGTGAAGTTAGGTGAACCCATTTCCAAGAACGACCGAACGAAACAACGAATGGATCTGTGTATTCGTCGAAGGTGAGAGATTGTACACAGAGCAGATACCTACCGCAGATAGTCCTCATCTATGTATGCCTCAACTATATCCGATCCGTTTCGTCTCATAGATCTCACTACCAATAAC